TAGTGTTTTCGAAAAAAGGTGTTTTTTGAAAAAATCACTAAGTTATAAAATAGTTTAAAATATAATATTTACATATTCTGTATTCTTTTAATGAGCTAAATATGAATCTGTTTTGATTTTTAAAAAAAACTGTATTTTGACCGGGGACGCGTAGGGACGCGTAGTTTAGGCAAAAAATATTTTTTTCGAAAAAATCTTTTTTTTTAATTTTTTTTTATTAATACCATTTTCTGAATCTCCTTGAAAAGCTAAACATGAATCTGCTTTTATTTTTTAAAAAAAACTGTTTTTTGACCGGGGACGCGTAGTGTTTTTGAAAAAAAAAAGTGTTTTTTCAAAAAATCACTAAGTTATAAAATAGTTTAAAATATAATATTTACATATTCTGTGTTCTTTTAGTGAGCTAAATATGAATCTGTTTTGATTATTTTAAAAATACTGCATTTTGACCGGGGACGCGTAGGGACGCGTAGTTTAGCCAAAAAAATTTTTAAAATTTTTTTCACTGAATCTCCTTGAAAAGCTAAACATGAATCTGCTTTTATTTTAAAAAAAAAACGGTTTTTTGACCGGGGACGCATAGTGTTTTTGAAAAAAAAGTGATTTTTCAAAAAATCACTAAGTTATAAAATACTTTAAAAAAAATGAGCTAAATATGAATCTGTTTTTATTTTTTAAAAAAAACTGTATTTTGACCGGGGACGCGTAGGGACGCGTAGTTTATTTTTTAAAAAAATAAATTTTTATAAATTTTATAAAGTTACCGTATTTTTTTTAAATTAAAAAAAACTTTTTCTAACTCATCTTATTAAGCTTAATAAGATTTCCTATTAATAATAATAGAAATAAGTCGTTTTGACCGGGGACGCGTAGGGACGCGTAGTTTAGCCAAAAAAATATTTATTCGAAAAAATTTTTTTTTTAAATTTTTTTTATTAATACCATTTTATGAATCTCCTTGAAAAGCTAAACATGAATCTGCTTTTATTTTAAAAAAAAACGGTTTTTTGACCGGGGACGCGTAGTGTTTTTGAAAAAAAAAGTGTTTTTGAAAAAAAAAGTGTTTTTTCAAAAAATCACTAAGTTATAAAATAGTTTAAAATATAATATTTACATATTCTGTATTCTTTTAATGAGCTAAATATGAATCTGTTTTGATTTTTAAAAAAAAACTGTATTTTGACCGGGGACGCGTAGGGACGCGTAGTTTATTTTTTAAAAAAATAAATTTTATATAGTTACCGTATTTTTTTTAAATTAAAAAAAACATTTTCTAACTCATCTTATAAAGCTTAATAAGTCCTATTAATAATAATAGAAATAAGTCGTTTTGACCGGGGACGCGTAGGGACGCGTAGTTTAGCCAAAAAAATATTTATTCGAAAAAATTTTTTTTTTAAATTTTTTTTATTAATACCATTTTCTGAATCTCCTTGAAAAGCTAAACATGAATCTGCTTTTATTTAAAAAAAAACGGTTTTTTGACCGGGGACGCGTAGTGTTTTTGAAAAAAAAAAGTGTTTTTTCAAAAAATCACTAAGTTATAAAATAGTTTAAAATATAATATTTACATATTCTGTATTCTTTTAATGAGCTAAATATGAATCTGTTTTGATTTTTTAAAAAAAACTGTATTTTGACCGGGGACGCGTAGGGACGCGTAGTTTATTTTTTAAAAAAATAAATTTTTATAAATTTTATATAGTTACCGTATTTTTTTTAAATTAAAAAAAAACATTTTCTAACTCATCTTATAAAGCTTAATAAGATTTCCTATTAATAATAATAGAAATAAGTCGTTTTGACCTGGGATGCGTAGGGACGCGTAGTTTAGCCAATTTTTTTTAAATTTTTTTTTATTAATACCATTTTCTGAATCTCCTTGAAAAGCTAAACATGAATCTGCTTTTATTTTTTTAAAAAAACAGATTTTTGACAGGGGACGCGTAGTGTTTTCGAAAAAAAGTGTTTTTTCAAAAAATCACTAAGTTATTAAATACTTTAATATATAATATTTACATATTCTATATTCTTTTAATGAGCTAAATATGAATCTGTTTTTATTTTTTAGTATTTTGACCGGGGACGCGTAGGGACGCGTAGTTTATTTTTTAAAAAAATAAATTTTTATAAATTTTATATAGTTACTGTATTTTTTTTAAATTAAAAAAACATTTTCTAACTCATCTTACAAAGCTTAATAAGATTTCCTATTAATAATAAAATAAGTCGTTTTGACCGGGGACGCGTAGTTTAGCCAAAAAAAAATTTTTTCGAAAAAATTTTTTTTAATTAATACCATTTTCTGAATCTCCTTGAAAAGCTAAACATGAATCTGCTTTTATTTTAAAAAAAACGGTTTTTTGACCGGGAACGCGTAGTGTTTTTGAAAAAAAAAAGTGATTTTTCAAAAAATCACTAAGTTATAAAATACTTTAAAAAATAATATTTACATATTCTGTATTCTTTTAATGAGCTAAATATGAATCTGTTTTGATTTTTTAAAAAAAACTGTATTTTGACCGGGGACGCGTAGGGACGCGTAGTTAAGCCAAAAAAAAATTTTTTTTATTAATACCATTTTCTGAATTTCCTTGAAAAGCTAAACATGAATCTGCTTTTATTTTTTTTAAAAAACGGTTTTTTGACCGGGGACGCGTAGTGTTTTCGAAAAAAGGTGTTTTTTGAAAAAATCACTAAGTTATAAAATAGTTTAAAATATAATATTTACATATTCTGTATTCTTTTAATGAGCTAAATATGAATCTGTTTTGATTTTTAAAAAAAACTGTATTTTGACCGGGGACGCGTAGGGACGCGTAGTTTAGGCAAAAAATATTTTTTTCGAAAAAATCTTTTTTTTTAATTTTTTTTTATTAATACCATTTTCTGAATCTCCTTGAAAAGCTAAACATGAATCTGCTTTTATTTTTTAAAAAAAACTGTTTTTTGACCGGGGACGCGTAGTGTTTTTGAAAAAAAAAGTGTTTTTTGAAAAAATCACTAAGTTATAAAATACTTTAAAATATAATATTTACATATTCTGTATTATTTTAATGAGTTAAATATGAATCTGTTTTTATTTAAAAAAAAAAAACTGTATTTTGACCGGGGACGCGTAGTTTATTTTTTAAAAAAATAAATTTTTATAAATTTTATATAGTTACCGTATTTTTTTTTAAATTAAAAAAAACTATTTCTAACTTATCTTATAAAGCTTAATAAGATTTCCTATTAATAATAATAGAAATAAGTCGTTTTGACCGGGGACGCGTAGTTTTCAGGGACGCGTATTTTAGTCATTCTCTTTTTGATTATATCATCACCTATAAAAAATTAATATAATTAATTAGCATAGATAATATATAAGATCATAATTTTTATAATATGCCTAATATCTGGTCATCCCTTATACAATATAATTTTTAATATATATTTTTTCCGAGTCATGGCTTTCCTGCTCAATATATGGAATAATATTATCAGGATCCATACTAACGCCAAGCAATTTACCCATTTTTTTATTAACAGCACACCCGTCGCATAAAATGGCTTTGCATATTACTCCAGTTTCATTTAAATTGAGCAATGCATCTATCACTAAATTAGCTAGGATATCTGAATTTATTTTTACAACTAGAAAATAGGCTATTGGCATTTTCCAGCTGCTATTAATACAGGTCGCCATAAGAAATAGGGCCTTTGTTGCTTCTGGACATGATTCATCTTCTTTTGTTGATTTTGTCCCATCACCTAAATCAACATAGCCATGATATTCTCCTTTGTGTTTTTCAAAATCTATTTGCGTTTCAATAGAATATAAGAAAAATAATATATCATAAATGGAAACTTTTCAAAAAATTATCTTCGTAGACTAGTTTTGGCAATATTATATATGTATTAATATTTCATGCTGACAAATAATGGATATCCAAACTACAAAATGGCGCTACAGCTGATTGCAATGTGTGGACATTTTTATCATGCATTTAATGAATGAATCACCAATCTATGTTATATTTATATATATCATTGGATATTCCATATAATATCACAAATGGAGTTGAAACCCAGTTGCAAAAAAAGACAATAACATCTTACTTCCAAAAAGTAATATTTTTTATTTATTATTGTAACTATAAATTTGTGAATTAATAGAAACTGATTTAAAATTTTACCAGAATAATATTAATATTAAAGTAGTCAGGGTATAGAGAAAATAAATTATATATATTATTATTTAATGTTTTTTAACTGTTTATCACACTATTTTTATATCTATATATACTTTATAAAGTTCAATTTAACAATATGTTTAATAAGTTAATAATAATAATTTAAAACCAAAGTATTAAAAAAACTTAATAAGTTAATATAATGTAGTAAAATAAGGTAATGTTAATTTCTAGGAATTTTTAAATTTAAATCTTTTCATCTTTAATTGAATTAAGACTTCAAATTCTTTTACTTTTTTTTATATAAATTTTATAAAATATGATTTGGATTCAACTATTTTCAAAATGTTATCTGTGTGAATTTCATCCCCTTTATTTACATTATGTGTTATATTAGGTATATTTATTATCATTGTTTTATTTAGCTATTAGAATTTCTTTAGATAATATACTTTCATCACATCATGAATTTCACAATTTTATTTATACTTAATATTGTTTTTATTTTTACAGTCATTATAATATTGTTTTATGATTTCTTCATGTGATCGCAGTTTTATATTAATCTGCATCTATCATGCCTATGAATCTTTCAAGTATATTTTAAAAAGTTTTTACATGATTTAACAAAGACATATTGATGTTTATGATTATCGCGTTCAAAATATGTGAATTCCCTTTGTATTCTACATTCACTTGTGCTGTACCTATTACTTGTATCATCTTGCCATTGTAACCTGATAACTTTATGTTGGACTTCATAATATTTTTAATACCTGTTTTCTCAATCATGTATTCTTGTATTATTAAAACATTTATTAAAAACTTAATTATAATGTAGTTAAAAAAAATTATCATTTGCCTAAAAATTTATTAAAAATATAGTTTTCATAAGGAAAGAAATTAAACTCCTCTTTATTTATAGAAAATCTCAGTTATTGAAGATTCACAAATTGTATTATCTCCTCATCCAATCCCCAGTTCCAGTGAGGTGCTTACTTTGCATGATGAGGTATTTAATTTAAATACGAATTATATGATAACTTTTGAAAGAAATAAATTATGATTATGAGGTTAATTAAATATTTCTAACCTTTATTAAAAACTTAATTATAATGTAGTTAAGAATAAAATGACATTTGACTAAAATTTTATTAAAAATATAGTTTTTCATAAGTAAACAAATTATACTCTTTATTTATAGCAAATCTCCAATATTGAAGATTCACAAATTGTATTATCTTCTCATCCAATCCCCAGTTTTAGTGAGGCGCTTACTTTGCATGATAAGGTATTTAATTTAAATATGAATTATATGATAACTTTTGAAAAAAAATAAATTATGATTATGAGGTTATTCAAATATTTCCAACATTCATTAAAAACTTAATTATAAAAGAAAAAAATTACCATTTGGCTAAAATTTTATTAAAAATATAGTTTTCATAAGGAAAGTGTTATGTTCTATCTCCCCACTTGTCGTATAACTTATTTCTTTTCTTTACGTTTTTCTCCACTTGTTTCTTTTGTTTTTCCATCTTCCTTTTTTTTTGTTATGAAATTGATATTATACTTTATTTTTATATTGCATTTGAAACTGGTTCTAACCAGTCTGGCAGTGATTTTTTTTGATTGTGTAAATTATGAATATTTTTTTTTGTAAAATTTAAAATACATTTCTTTTATGAAAATTTATTGTGCTAAGTTTTTAATCATTTTGTAAATTGTAACATTTTAACAATAAAGTTAAATTACTAAAATTACTCTGGATGATGACAAAGTTAAAAACCGGCCCCACGAATTCTGCCGATCCCTCACCTTATCCCACGGTAGAACCGCTCGCGGTCGTGGCCCCAAACACAACACTGGCGCCCAACGTGCTTTCGATATTCTACTACCCGGAAGAGCCAACGGACCATTACCTCGAACGTTTTATGCTTATCCACCGACATCTGTGGTCACAGCTTATATACAAAATTAAAGTTAGCTTTTGCACCAAGACCTATGATTGACTTTCAATGGAGGACGTAAAAACGATTCTGGGGAACAATAATAACAATAAAGGACTATCGATCAACAAGCTTCGTCAACGCATCCAGCAAGATAGCGAAACGATTACTGAATATGCAGAAGCTTTGATAGCTTTGGCCTCGCAATGCGATCTAGGCCCCAGCTGGGACCTCTTCTTGTCCTCCCAATTCGGAGCAGGGATACAATCCACCGGAATACATGGTCAGGTGATCACATCCGATAATGAAACTTTTAAAGGAAAATTAAAAATTGCTCAAACCTGGGAAATGGCCGAAGCTCTTAACCAAAATAATCCAACGAACAACGCCTTCAGCAACCAAAGAAACGTACCCATAAAGTATACTCATATACAAAACACCCTGCAAACATATGATAATTACTACCAACCCCCACGTCGAAATTTCCCACGTAATGATAACCTTACCTGTTACAAATGCGGGAACATGGGACATTACAGGTCAAATTGCCCCATGAGACAAACAATCTCAAGATCATTTGCTATCAAATAAGCTTGATATAATCATGGAAAATCGTAATATAGTTCATAATATTATCGATGCCATTATGTACCTTATAAAATGTAATATAGCCTTTTGGGGTTCTAATTCCAATGAAGGTAATTTTATGTGTCTCATAAAATTAATGGCAAAAACGGTTCCAACTTTACGTGCATACATGGATAACAACGAAAAATTGCGGAGAAAAAAATCAAATAAAATTTCGAGACCTTATATAAATTTACTGTCATATGGCCACGTGAAAAAAATAACTGAAATTATTAAGATAAAAATAACAAAGCATTATTCAAACAATTAAAGAGAAAATATAAAGAAACATGTTTTTTCTAAGTTTAATGATCTTGGTCTTCCTCTTGATTATTTGGTTGGACAAAGTATGGATGGTGCAGGGAATATGAGAGGAGTATACAAAGGAATGCAGGCTTTAATATTGAAAGAGGCTCCAAAAGCCATCTATATTTGGTGCCATGCACATCGACTAAATTTAGTAGTTGCTCATGTTTGTGGATGCAAAATTGAAATGAAAAAGGCAATGGGAATATTAGATGAGTTATATCATTTTATGAATGGAGTTAGACGTCAAGGTGTGTTTGTTAAAAATCAAAAGAGAAAGTCCAAAAAATCTCTTAAAAGAATTAAAAACACAACAAGGTAAATAAAATATTTTTAATGAAACTTATATATTTTCAGAAATTGGTCATCATCCTACAAATCTGTAGAAATCTTTTTAGATGTTTATGAACATATTTTAGCATCATTAGTTGAATTAAAAGATTCTAATGACCCAAGCACCTCTTCCATTGCCGATGGATTATTATCAAGAATTAAAGATGAAAATTTTATATTAAGTCTATTTATTTTGAAAGAAATATTGAAATGTACACATGAGGCTTGTATTGAAATGCAGGCAGTTGGTAATGATTTGGCTTTGGTAACCAAATTAATACAACATACAAAAAATAAATTACAAAAACTAAAAGGTTAATATTAGTTACTATTTCTATAAATAATTTTAAAATATAGCTAATGGAGACAATATATTTTTAAATGTGCATTCCTTATCTAATAGTTTTTTGAAAAAGAATAATGTAATAACTGATTTGTATAATATGAAATCAATATTCAAATTGGATCAAACAGAATTCAATAATTATGTTGAACAAAAAAAACAAGTTGAATAAATTAAAAAAATTTAAATTATTATTTATTATTATAGATATAGAACGGAAATATTTTTCCCTGTGCTAAATGCAATAATTAATCACCTAAATGATCGATTTAATTATGATTGTTTAAATTTTTTATCACAGATATCCATTTTTACTCCCGCTGGAATTATGGATAATGAAAAAATAGAAGAATGGCAAATATCCGAAATTTGTAATACTTATCAATTGGATGTCCAAAACATTGTTGAAGATATAATGATTTTCGCTCTTTATATTTGGAGTCTCAATCAATCATGTTTTGCGAAGATTTTTTAAAAGTTAAAAAGAATGACACGTTATATATTGATGAAAGTAATTTATTGATATTTTATTTGTAATTGTATATAATTAAAGGTATTGCAAACGATCAAATTACCAAAGAAAATATCAACAGCGAAATCATGACCAATAAAAAAATGGATAAAATTTTCTTTTATATTACCATACCGACTTTAAATCAATTAAATTCTTATTCTAATTTAAATTTATTATATAAATATTTATTAACCCTTCCTACAACTTCCTGTTCAGCCGAAAGAGCCATGAGTAAAGTAAAAATTAACAAAACTCGAATGCGGAATAAAATTTCGGACCCATTTTTGGAAAATTTACTGTTAATATCCAGCGAAATTGATGTTTTTGAAAAATTTACAATTGATGATATTATAACACAATTTGCATTAACATCTATAAGGTTATCCAAATTATTAATAAAATAATTAATGTATCTTTTTCACAGCGAATATATAGGCTTTTAAATAATGTATATTTAATTTAACATTTTATAATTTCAATGCAAAATATACTATAATTCATTTTATTCTGATATTTTATATAATAGCTCTATTTACAATACATGTTTTTAATTATGTGGAATCAAGCTAAATATACCTCTTTAAATTTATTCGTCTTATATTTTTTACAATATTTTAGATCTTTTTTATAGAAATATTAATATGTTATCTCATTTAATTCACTTATATATATTTTATGAAAATAAAGTGAATACCAAATTATGAAAAGATTGCATTATTTAAATAAAAGTTCATTATCACCTACAAATTTTTAAATTTTTTTTCCCTAAATAGGCTTGAAAGATTGTAAATAGAATTATGTTGTAAGGTTATAAATGGTGGCAGATAAGATTTTTTAAATAAAATCACTATACCATCTCGCTGCCGCCGCAGGATTTTTTTAGGTGGGTATGGGTAGATCTTGGAGGGGTTTGCCTCCATCAAATTTTCTGCCATGTAGACGCTGAGCTGAATAACTATGTTTATAAGATTAACTATGATTGATAAAGTCCCAAAAAATGCTATGGATGCTTTGCATTATTTCAAACACATTTTAAATTATATTCCCAATGTATTAAAAGGGTTTATATATATTAGCAACTCTTCCCAATAGTAAACTAATGAGAGAACATTCTTTTTTTAAAAATAATAACAGAGCCCTGCAGAAGTACCATTTGCAGGGAACGACCCGGATTTTTTTAAAGATTTTTACGGCTAAGCTCAATTTTCAGGCCCGGCCATTTTTAAAATAAAATTTTCAGGCCCGATCCTGATTTTTTAAAAATAAATTATATTTATTTTTGATTTTATAACTAATAATAACGATTTCAGATATAATATACAGTCCAGCCCGGATATTTTTTTAAAAAAAATTTCAGGTCCGGCCTAGATGTTTTTTTTAAAAAAATTCAGGCTCAGCTCGGGTGTTTTTTTAAAAAAATTTCGGGCCGGCCATACGGTCCGGCTCGGGGGCCGAGCCTGCAAATCTCTGAAAAACATACCAAGAAGTACATTTTAAAGTAGATTGAAAGGTTTGGATCTTTTGAATATTCATAGGCATTTGACAACAAGCAAGGATGAGATAATTGAAAAATTAGCTCAATCCCAACGAAGATTGGATTTTACATTGTAAATATATTACATACAAAATACAATTATTCCCTAAGCTTTTTGTGTATTAATTTATATTTCTAACATTTAAATTTTTTATACTTTATATATAAATTTTAAAGCTCAAAAAATTCAAATTTCTATTTTGGGTCATTTAAGTGATTCTTTACATATAATTTTTTTATAATTCACATTAATTTAAAATTGTGTACGAGAAATAGTTATTAGTCCAAATAAATTTATGCTTGATATTTTTAAAAAACAATAATATTTCTTAAAAAAATTTTATATCCCCCCCCCAGACCAAATTCCTGCGTACGCGCCTGTAACGGATGATAATAACAATTTTGAAAAATGATAATTATAACGACTGAGCATTACCAAGCAAGCTACATGATGAAATCATGATTTATAAAGACAACTTACGATAAGGATATCGAGCTCACGATTTAAACAAACCAACGATTGGGACAAGCCAACGATTACAATGACTTATGAAACAACTAGATGACTAAAACGATAAAGCACTTGGACAACAAACTATCTATGACAGCTTAGATGAAATTATGGGAAAACATTTTAGAAGAGGGAAAATTTTATATTATAGAAATAATAAATTAATATATTATATATTTTGGTTTTTAAATAGTATATGTTTATAATGTAAAGCGTTTAATTAATAACTTATTTAAATTATATTTTATTTTAGTTTTACTTCTCGTTTTATAAGTTAACCTTTTAATATTATATTCTAATTTTAGTTTGTAAAAATGTTATATATATGGCATGAAAAAGAGAAATAAAACAGATAAAAAAATTATATTTTTACTTTTGTTCAGAATTATAGTCAATAGTTTTAGTTTACAAAATTATTAACTTTTACATTTTTTTTTATCAAATTATTGTTTAAGATATATATGCACACATTTATGGGGCACAGAGAGTTGGGAGAGAACTAAGGAGGATATTTATTATTAGCTTAAAATTCACAAATATATTTCTGGGGGGGGGGGGTGATTACCCTTTATCCCCACCCCAGACTACGCCTATGATTCCTAGATTAGCCTTGGCCTTTTTAAATCTAATTTGTTTTTCATATTCATCATTTTATTCATGAGTGTGTTAACCAGTGATATTTAATTTATAAAAATAAGATAATATAATATGTTTAATATTCGATTCCCATATAGACGAAATACCACTTCAAAAGGCTACCAATAAATCATGTAAAGAGATTTAAGCGTATAGATCAATTTTATCTAAAATTAAAGGGAGTGCACTTTGACAAAATTCCTTATTTTTTTGACCTTTAGACGCTTACATTTCAGCAGGTTAGAGTTGCAGGCTAAATTTTTATATATTTTTCTTAATATGTGCAAACTCTAGTAAAAATTTAAAAAATAAGGGATTTTATTTTGAAACTCATGGTTTGTCATGTAATTCACCATTATATGCTCTCATAATAATAGAAATAATTTGATTATTTAAATTTATTTAAAAAAATAAATTAATTGTAAAAAAATGAACGAATCATAAAAACAATCAATTCCTTATAAAAACATTAAAAATAACCCTGAAAAAAAATACTACACACCTCGAAAGAAGCAATAATCATTATGGAAAGAACGAAAGATTTGTTATTATTACAACATACTACAAATAATATTATTCACTATCATATTTAATCAGTATTTAAGAATATTTTATTTGAGTGACAAACAATCATTTTATTTATTCTATGTTAAGGAGTTTTAAATCTTCAAAATTTTAAATAAATGAATTTTTTCCTATGTTAAATAATAGTAATGAACGTGAATTCTCATCTCTAGACTCTGATTCAGAGTACAAATGTCAAAATTAATTCTATATATTTATTTTACTTAGATATTATACCTATCCATTTCTCAATGATTATTCTAAGATTTATCCTCAATTTATCAATAATTTTATTATTGGAAGATATGGTTATGGCACCATTTTATTTCCTGACCTCTTAGAATTATTAAATTTTAAATTAGGTGCACAAGGTTAATCATTTTATCAAAATTAAATATATCTACCTGATAGCTTACCATTATATTTTTAACTAAATTGAGTTTAACAATTTTAGAGATTTTTTTAATTTATTTGTCTTATGAATATTATTTTATTGAATCATGAATATACAACTTTGATATCATACGTTTATCATTATATGAGAAATCGTTATATTTAAATATTCCATGACACATGACATCTGATGTTTATTATAAAAATAAATAAATTAGTGCTTATGCAACATTTCTATATGCTTTAAACTTTTTAAAATTTAATATATGGTTATAGTCAAACTTTATTTTCATAACTGACAAATAAACTTCTACCTATAAATTTTCCAATATAGATTTAGAACAGGTTGGCAAGTCGGTCAATTGACTATTGACTAAAGGAGTAGGGTATCTAAAATAATAGTGGCGAATAAATATATTTATTTAATTAACTAATATGTATTTAAAGCATGCTCATCAATAAAATTAGGTTACATTTATTTAATAATATACTTGTATCATTAAGGCATCATTTTGATTAGAATTTTATATTAAAATATTAGAATTTCATTTTAAAATATCAAAAATAAAATAATTTTTCTCATTATTAATTTGATTGGATCTTAATATTAGGGCTGTGCTGATACACATATTTTTCACCGATCTGATCCGATATTTTCCAATATTTATACTGACTTTTAATCACCCCCGTTTGAACCAAATGTAATTAAGAAATCAATGTTTTTATGCAAAAAATCAAATTATGAATTTAATTTTTTATTTCTACAATTAAGACTTCAAAGAATAATAGGAAATTTTTTATTGCTGAAACTGAAAAAAAGAGAAAAAGAAACTCTTCGTAATCAGTAAGCACTTCCATACTGATTTTGACGGACAAATGTAAGGGATAAATTAAATATTGATAAATCATAAAATTTATTATTTTTTCAAGTTATAACAAATCTTTATATATTTAATAATATATCCATTTTTTTTGGTATGAATTATAAAATTGTAATATTTAATAGATAAAATTATAATTTTTAATAAATATGAAAGCCTCCAGATTTTATGAGAATAAGCTTCTACGATATTGACTATCTATATCTCCTGCCGTATTGAAGGCAGACTCAGGTGATTCTGCAGATAACGCATTTTGCAAAATTATCTTTGTCTTTTGTAAAATATTTCCATAATTCAGATACCATTTTTAAAAAATTCTTTTATTTAAAGTATAAATAAAAAAATTGGCGTTATTAAAGATTTAAAATAAATAAAACTTTGGGTGTTCCTTTCTATTTTTATATAAAAAAAACTTAAAATACTATAAATCTATTTTAAAAATGATATAAATTTTAAAAATCATTTAGATAATATTATAATAATGTAAAATAAAAATACATAACATAAAATAAAATAAAATAACAAAAAAAGATCGGATCGGGGTTTTCAGGGATCGGCCCTATCCGATATTTTCAGAATACGCTAAATATCGGTACCGATCCGATCCGATATTTAATATCGGCACAGCCCTACTTAATATATAATTAAATGTAATAATTTTATTAAAGCAATTGCCATTTTATATTACATTATTAAAAATTATCCAAACAATGGGCAACATCAATAAAATGTAAGGAGAAAAACAAATCTGCAAGAAAGCTCTAAAAGCAGCTGTTAAAGAAGTTGAATATTTGTCAGAAAGGAATTACCAATAATATATTAAACGAAGAAATATTTTGGACAAAAAATTTAGAATTTTAAACTATCCTTTAACATTTACCTATCATATTGTTATAAGTGCAAAGAGGTGGCATATTTAATAGCCAAAATATATGGAAACATTAACTTTCATAGAAAAACTAGTGTTGTTTAATGGCTCAATTTGAGCCGATTTCAATATTTTACAGAAAAATATTATGCAAGTCTAAAGATTTTGCTCATCGATGGCACATAGGATTGAATTGGTGAAATCTCGACGTTTAGACAATATTTTCCTGGCTATAATGTTGAATTAGCCGTTTTTATAAATCAGCTCAAATCGAGCCCTTTAACAACTCTCTAATAAGCAAGTTGTTGGAATGAGCCTTGCCCATGTTGAATGAGAAGTATTTAATATCTTACAAACAATTCCTAGTTATACTTCTTTTTCAGAAAGAAATTGATCAGTTTGGGGTAATATTCATACGAAGAAACGACAACAGAAAAATTGATAAAAGTATATCTATCATAACTTAAGATTGATTAAAAATATTGAAGAAAATGATAATATTGAATATAAATCAGAAAAAGATTGCCACGGAGAAACATTAATTATAGAATTTAAAATATATAATTTAATAATGCATTTTTTTTATATTATATATGAAATAATGTAAGTTAATATTGTCTTAAACACATTTATTCAAATTTGACCATATTTGACTTGTCAAATATTGGTCAATTGACCGAATCATATTTGACAGGTCATGCACAACTTTGGATTAATATACTTTTTTATATTTCATACATTTTTTTTAAGTTAAAATAAATCATAGATATGTAGAAGTAGACACTTCCTTGAATAATTATACACATCTTGCAGGCAAGAAAGCACATGTGTGTTTGCATTCCATTTGGCCTAAAGACAAGAAAAATGGATATTTTATTAAAGTTCAAAATTTATCATATTTTATTAAATATTATTTATATTAGACCCAGGCTTGTGAATCGATCCTTTTAAAAAGATCGAATTCTGAACGATCTTAAAAAGAAGATGAAGTCCAGGATCGACCTTTTTTTTAAAATTAACTAATATAAAAATAAATTAAATTGGTATAAATTTGTAATTGAATAATATAATATAACAATTAGAATATATTATATTTATAATTAAAATTAGCCTTTACTAATAAAAATTTTTCTGTTTATTATCATTTAAACATCCACTTCTTTCATTAAGTATATATTTGACTTTACTAAACAAGCGCTCCACAGGAGCACTTGATGGCAAAGGTGTGTTATATTCAATAAAAAAATTTTAAAATTTACATAATTATTAAAAATATTAATTGAGTCATCATTTGTATAAAACAAATTATTATGGAAAGCGCATTTTGTGAAGAATTTTTCCTCCAACTATTTCATCCATATATTCATTTGAAGCATCTAAATGTGGTTGATCCTGCAGATTTTCCAAATGGGGAATTAACATATCTTTTACTAATAGATTTTGTGGCAGATTAATATAAGGCCAATTTAGCTCAAATTTTTAGTGAATTATTGCTGTTAATATGTTACTTTCATTTCATCATACATCGAAGGAAATCTATATTAAGAAATGATAACGAATTTATTATTAAATAAATGTTCATTCATATAAATCAGATATCTGAAAAACGCAGCCCTTTCGAATTTTAGAGTCAAACCTCACCCATTATCTGTATGGTATTTATATTTGAGTCATTTTGGCAACTGTTTTTTGTGATATTGCTGGCATATTTAGATTATAAAAATTTAATTTTGTTTGCAACCACTTTATTTTTCAGAAAATTCATTTATGTGTTTGGCAATGTCATTTCGAATTCACTATGCTTTCTCTTTATAAAAGAAAAATATAGTATTAATTATTAATTAATATGTTGACATTAAGATTAACAAATATAAAAAATTTAAAATTAATTACTTCTAAATACCTTTTGAGATTTGAACTACTAATATTTAAGACTATATGTTTTTCTTACATAAAGAGCATGTCACAATTATCATGGCGTAGTTACTTCCATCCGTTTCATATAAAGCAAAATACTTACGTAGCTTATGAAAAGATAAAAAATTCCCGTCAGTAGGTGTATTTTCTTCTAAATGGACATTATTAAAACCTGGAATTAATTTATATTATATATAATTAAATAAATAAAACTTGTAGGCTGTCTCGATAAAATTTATGAAATATAAAATATGACGGAAGATGATAAAATGTGATGTAAATAGATATTCTTTAAAAAAATAATATTTTAAAATTTTTTTATTTAATTTATTGCTTTTTAAGTAAAAAATAGATTTTTAAAAGGATCGAGATCGAATATTAAACAAAATGATCTCAATCACTATCCTCAATTTTAGACAGAATCATAAATCCGGGAAAATTGCCAAATATAGGATCGAATCCAGGATCGTCGATCCTTTAACAACTAAGATTAGACCTATTTGATCGAATCCAGGATCATCGATTCTTTAACAGCTAAGATTAGACCTATTTAATATGATTTGTAAAAAATTGGTTAATGAGCTTTTTAAAATACTTTACACAACTTATCCTGTGTATAATATTATTTTTTTAAGAATTCATTTGTTTTGATGATTATATTAGACAATTAAAAAAAATATATATTCAAAGGATATATGGGAGTTAAACAAATTAAATTATGAATACAAATTAAAAAGAGCCTGCCTTAAAATGGGTGCAACATATGTGAGATACCTACCATATACTGGAACCTTAATATTTCAAGTAATTAGTAAATTTTGTTATTGATATTTAGGGTTCATTACCCACCTACCCCCCTGCCTCTCCCAGTACAAAAAAGGAAGGAAAGTCAATAAAAATTGATATTATCTTTTTTATTATATAATGATGAAAAGCATGATGAACAGGGATTCATAGTATATCTTTTTAATAAATCAAAATTTATATATTCATTACATTATATTGTTTTATTAATCTAAAATCGAAGTATATATATATATTTAAAATAATTAAAATAATAATGTTGATTTGAATAAAATAAAATTTTATTATTTGAAATAAGCTAAGTTAATGAAGTAAATAAAAGTTATATAAACAAAATCAATTCATTTAATTTGTAATCAACTTAAGTCTTGAATGTTGAATTGGAATATATAAATATTTATGTTGAATGACAATATGTAAAAATTGTTTTCTAAATGTAATTAAAAACATATGTTGCATTATTAAATAATTATAACAGCTACCCTTATTTTTATATAAAGTTTATCAGGAAAAAGCATTTATTTAGGCCCCCAATAAATTTGCAATCAATTGATAGAAATTAAAGGTTGGCACATGACAAAAATGTTTTAGGACCAGGGTGGACAACTTGTCCAAAATATTTATACTTACTAGACTGGTTCACAGTTTTTTAAACTCAAAAATGAGCTAATTTATGTTGCTTGCCCTACTATTACGAGCCGAGCTAAACTGGCCACCTTCAACAAAATTTTATGGGCTTGGCAAAAAATTTATAGGCCTAGACCAAAAAATTTCACGAGCTAATTTGGGCGCTCGCTTGTGCCAACCTCCAATTATGAATAACGATTAGCTGCTTTTCAAACCCTCATATTTGAAATTTTGAAGATTGTTCTATAATGTTACTTACTATTAGGGCTGTGCCAATATTACATATCAGATCGAGGAAGATAGGTTCAATATTATAATAATGTTTTTTATTTTGAACATAATTTCTTAATAATAAGTGTTTCTTGTTGCCCATATTTTAGCCAGTTGTTGTTTTTTTAAAATGAAAATAGTTCAAAGATAGATAGTAAATTAAAATCAATCTTAATATCGCATCAATTTAATAATAGAAATAAACTTCAAAGCGACTCTTTATTTTTGACATGTTAAATTTCCAATCTGGCGGTATTAGCATAACATTCCTACCACTGATCAGAAGAATGAATTAATGTAACTGGAAACATTGATTGTTAACATTGGAGATGTCTGATAATTTTGAAAAATAAATATTTATTAAAAATAATATACCTCTTTTTAAATTTTATACATTTAATTATAAAGTATAACATTTATTATTTATTAACATAATTATTATAATAAGAGTTGGTTTTTTTTAACCAGGACATTTCTTAAATAACTATAAAAAAAGTAATAATCAGTGATTTCGACCCGATACCTCCTCTAGGCACTGATATTAGTAAATATTAGTATCTGAAAAGTGGTATTGCTGAACCTTCGAATAAATTATATAACAATAAAAAATTATATATATTTTCAAGTAACTTTAAAAAAAGTAATGATCAGTAATATCGGCCCGATACCTTCTCTAGGCACTGATAAGTAAATATTAGTATCTATAAAGTGGTATTGATAAACCTTCGAATAAATTATATAACAATAAAAAAATATATCAATTTATTTGCAATTTATATACTTTTTCGTTATTTATTAAAACTAGGGTTGTACCGATTTTTGCCGATATTGAACTTTTAGAATGCAATATTTTTCAAAAATTTAACCGATACCGATTTTATACACATTTTTTATATACATTAATTTTTTTTATCACATTTTTAAATAATTTCCCTTTCTTATAATAAATTTTCATAACTCTTATAAAAAAGTTTCTTATAAAATTGAAATGTTTAATGGTTTTTTTTAAACATTTTTTAACGAGAGAAGTAAAGTATATTAATTAATTGATATAAACGTTGAATGTTTAAAATTTTTATTATTAGAAAAAAATTATAGTAAATTAAAATCCTGTGAATCTAAATTTCACCAATTAACTAAGATATCAATATTTTATCTTCCATTTTCTTGATTATTGGAGGGTTAATGCTAAACTATTTCCAATTTTGGCAAACCTTGCACATAAGTATTTCATAAGATAATTGTAACTTGTGCCAAAATGTTTTACAAAAGGGTAAAAAAAATATTTAATTCTAAATAAATACAAAAAAATTTATTGGATGTTAAAATCAAGACATTTCATAAAATTACTTATTCATCTAAATAAAATGGAAATTTAAGAAAATCTATCTAAACTAGGGGTAAATAAAATTTAGGAGTTTACTTTAGTGGGGTTTCATAGACCTTAATTAGTCACTATATGCTAAAACTACTCAATTAAAATATATGAAATTTGGAATATATAATTCAAGATATATTTAATGAAGCTACTGAAGATTCTAGATCATAATTTACTGCCTTGGATCCTATAGATACCACCATAGTAAGGGTTAATTTGTTTTTTTAAATTTAAATAAAGATGCATAGATTATTATATAGAAAATTATGAATATATATATAGTTTACTAGCATATAAATTTATGCTTATTTAAATTAACTAAAATAGATAAGTGAATATTCTGATCATCATTAAAATAATAATATGGACTATATGTATAATTATTCTAAGACATTATTTACTATATATATCTTATAGATATAAATCTTTTACAAATTTAAAGATAAGACATATTTTTAAAATTTTAAAGCTTTAAGACTTTTTGATTTTTAAGAGCCGGGATAAGTGAATATTCTGATTAAAACACTTTAAAAAAATTTATTCAAATTTTTATTATTCCATATAAAAAAAATCAATATAAATAGGGTATCGGATCGATATCAGTGCCGCGTGGCCCTAATTCAAACGCCCTTTTATTAATCGTTATCGTTTGCTTCTATTTCCCTTTTTTGTGGGGAAGAGGGGGGTAGGGATATAGTTAATTCCATACATTCCAATTTGTTTAAAAAATATCACGTACAATTTAAATCAAGATTATTTATATAAGAAAATATATATTTAGTAAATAATGATAATACACAAAAAACTGCTGTCAATTAACATCTTCAAATGTCATTTTATTACAACCCCATACTCCTTTTCTTTTCTCTTCCCCATATTTATCTCTGCTAGATTATAAATGAGATAAATATCACTTTTTTAGCTGATACATATTTATGGTATCAAATCACTGTTGAATATAGTATTATATTTAATGTTTTATTAAGGAAGAAAAAGCGAAGATAATAATTCATCAACATAATCATTTTTTAAAAAATAAATTTTTCATATATAATTTTTATATTAAAAAAAAATTTTAAACTGCATTTTCTTATTTTCAGCATAAGGTTTATTTCGTAGCTAAAACTATCAATGTTTCCAGACTTAAACAATAACTCTTCTTACATTATCAATTTAAGCCATAAAAATGTTTTTTTCCAGTCATTTTGTAACTTGTGTGTGAATTTATTTACATGTATGCCTTACTCTTAGGAATAAAGTTAATTTTTCATCAAAATTTTTCAAAATAATATAAATTAAAAACAAAAAGGATTACAACAAAATATCGGTATAGGTTGTATATCTGATATTATAGTAGAAAACATTAATTAGTATATTTGCCTGCAGTCCTTTTGAAAATAATAAGAAAAAAAGAAGGTAATTCTATCTTACAAAGAGCAAAAAGGGAATTTTATCTAAAAATTATACAAAAAAGGTAATTCTATTGTGCACACACCCTCCTCCTTCAACGACGCTACGAAATTATTACCTAAAACTAATATAAATAACATAAATGTAACATAAAATTCATTCATTGAATAATCTTTTCCTTAGGCTAACTACCGAATGTCATTTAATTGTATAAAATAATATAAAAGATATAGGCTAAGCTAATGCCAACTATGGGTTGAGATTAACATTATTATGCTATGTACTATTGCCATTTCCCTTAATTTACTACTGAAAAAAAAATGAATAAATTTTAGGTTCCTCATTTTTCGCGTTACAAATTAGAAGATAGTGATGATGAAGAGATAGAAGAAGTATCCTACACTCAGCCATTTCAAACCAAGCCCAATTTAACATCGGATTCATTCGTATAAAATATAATTATATTTATATCAGCGACTTATAGAGATATCATTTAGTGTGCATCAGGCCTAATTTTTCAAGCCCGGCCTGAAATTTTTTTAAAAAAGTTTTGCCGGCCCGGCCCAAACCCGAAATTTATTTTAAAAAAATTTACAAGCCCGGCCAGGCCCGAATTTATTTAAATATAGAAATTAATTTTATTATTACTTAAAATAAATGACATATGTTATATAGCGTTTAGTTTCAATAAATTAAATCAAAAATTTTTATTTTACATAAAAAATCCAATATAAAATTGATAAATTTAGATATATTTAATAAAATTTAGATATATTTAATAAAATTTACAAGGTCCGACCCGACCAGGCCCAAAAATTTTTAAAAATATTAGGCCCTGCCCGGCTCGAGCCCGATTATTTTAAATAGAATTAGGATTTTTTTAAAATATATAATATTTATTTAAAATTTTTATAGCCAATAGATTTAAAATATTTGGTTTTAAAATTTATGTGCCTTCCCGGATATTTATTTAAAAAATTTTTTAGGCCCGGCCTATATTTTTAAATAAAAATTATACGAACCGGGTACACAGGCCGGGCTTAGGTCCGGGCCTGCCGGTCTTTGATTTATATATTACTCTTTTTAATAAAAAAAAATTGATTTAAAATAAAATAACTCATTATATCACCTTTCCTGTACGAAAAAAACATGTAATTTTTTTTCTTTTTGTTATTGTAAATGTTTTATTTTTATCACATATGAATAAAATATATTTTAAATTTCAAAATATTTAGAAAAAAAGTAGTGGCATCATTTGGATACCACCTCCCCCAACCATATCAGGAGGCATATAATTTTTTAAATAAGATTAAATATAGGAGAACATTATATTGTTCGCACCTCCATCGATTTAAATCTGTTCTAATCATCAAGATTTATAATTTCATGGCCATAAAAAGATAAAATCTTATCTTTTTTATATTTTAACATTTGATAAATTTAAAAATAATAAATGCCATATTTGATTAACTCTTGTTTCAATATAAATATTGTATACGTTTATTAAATTGGAATGATTAAAAATATATTTAATTTTAATATTTTGGTGTTTAAATAAATCTAGGCATTAAGTTTGATTCAATATTTGATGAGTGGTTTTCAATTCATATTATCCTGCCTGAAAGGGTTGTGTAAATTTAAAACAAAAATATTAAATTATCCTTGTTTGTTTTTGATTTAAATTATGTATTTTAAATATTTTTTTGAAAATAACTTTATTTGGATTGTTTAAAAATTTTGGTTTTTTAATATTTTATGAAAAATAAAATAATATTATCTCTATGCAATATAATAATTAAAAGATTTTTTGTTTTTGCAAATTTTTATTCTTTTTGTTCCCCAGCTCTCCTCCTTCCAAAAAATATTTTAATTCCATTTTTTCACCATCTATTATTTTACTCTTTATTTATTTTTGCTTTATTCTTTTTTTTCTCTATTTTTTTATTCGCTTCTTTTCTCGATTTTTTTTGTAACTTTTAAAAATGTGGCAACTGAAATGGCTGGTATATATAATCCTTCAGAAATTACCCTATTTAGAATTTGTTCAAACTTTACATTCGTTACTAAAACAATTTCTATTGATTTTCTTATATATGACTAGGCCAGACCTCCTTTACATCGGTCGCGTATCTCGAATCATCCCGATGGAAACGGTAATCTTTTCGAAGGCGATATTTCTTCTTTCAAAGATTCTCCCTCCGAATATAATTTCGGGAGAGAGGAAAATAGCTATCTAATTAAACGGCATAAAAATGAAATTATTTCGCGTGGCAAGGGCTCTCGCTGGGTCTTGGGTGAAAATATGAATTCAACCAAAATCGACGTTCAACCTAAAATTTCGCGTAGTTTATATATTATTTTATGTAAAGCGTAATTCCAATAGACAATACTCGTAATCATGAATATTTAAAGGAATCTAAGATTTTTTCCCCTTGTATTGTAGCACAAATAGTATAAAATAAAAAGATAGTACAATTATTGTTAAAGATGATTGTCAAATTCAGAATCTATACTTTTAAAAAAGGTTTAATTTTTTTTCAAAATTAATCATCTTTGAATAAACCTCTAATAATTCATTCTTTCATAAAGCTCCCAACCTAATGTCTCCTTCACTCCTATTCAACAACCTGGAAAATTCTTTTACAAGAACAGTGTACTTTCCTATTCAAATGAATGATCGTAATGACAATATTATTAAAATGGATTCGAATAATGACAATATTATTAAAATGGATTCAAATAATGAAAGAATACAAGATGGTTTCGATGCTAACGAGAGAAAAAAAAGTGTTAGGTTCAGTGGCGAGATAATGAATGAGAGTGGTAATGAAGCAAAACTATTATTTAATATAATACGTAATGATAATAATGATTCCAATGAAGTCCGTGATTTAGTTGATGATACGTCTATCAATATTAGTAAAAAACAATTATTTTAATATATTCATTACATATTACAATTTACAACTCTTTGTATTAGCCGAGTCTTTTATTATTAACCACCTAATAAAGTATTTCGAAATTAGGACTATGCCAATAGCATACACGCTAGACCCAGTTACCACTAGGGACTGGAATTGAATATTAAATGACCCTATTTTTTCCCCTTATGTCAGTTCACCTTCGATAGAAACATTTAAAGATTTGAACTAAAAATACAGATTATTAAAATGTTGTATCAAAAAGAATAAGTATCTTTCATTTTATCAGATGTAACATGCAATTTAAAAAAAACAAAAAAAAAGTAACAAATTCCCTGCTTCCAGATTATTCCATCTTTCAGTACGTCCCATATCCACTGCCCTCATTTATATCTACCGATGCTTATAATATTAATCCCAATAGTCTTTGTCCAAGTTACAGAGGTTTCAGACCCAGCTGGGGTCCGGGTAACATGTTGGTTTTGCCAGCTATCGTTGTAAGGGGAAGGAATGTCAAACAAAGTTATTTTTCTTTATTCTTTCATTTCTTTATTTTATTTTGTTCAACAAGTCATGGACATCATACATAGCCCGATTTATCATAATTTAAATCCGGAACTCCTGACTGAACTTTTCACAAAATTATCAAGAACCGGAATTTTGAAATTTCTAAGAACCATAATCGGTTCTTTCTAGTGTTAAACGGCTCGATTTGAGCCAATTTTAAAAACGACTAAATCAATATATTATTCAGCAAAATATTATGGAAGCCTGAATATTTTGCTCATAGATGGCACAAAGGTTTGGACATCTATTAAATAAATCTCAAGGCATAGGCAATATTTTTCTGGCTAAAATATGGAGTTAGCCGTTTTTAAAAATCAGCTCAAATCGAGCCGTTTAACAACACTAGTTCTACAAAAATGCAACTAATTTATATGCTTAATTTCTTCAAACTAACGTGATTTCATTTTAGAGGATTTATTTAGTGTTAAAATTTTTCTTTGAAATTTTTCATTTGCTTATTCAAAGTTTAAAACTCTCAAAACCTCGTCTATTCTTCATTATTTTTTTAAAAAAACTATGACCGTTTTTAGTGCAAGCTCTAAATCAATCGCAAACCTAAGTATTTAAGATATCTGAGTATTATTTTCAGAGCTCATGGGTGTCACATAATTGCAAATATAATTTAAACAAACAATCACCTAAATAGTTATCATGAATAAGATACGATAACGACTAAAGTTAAAATTATTGATGTATTGATTTGAAAAACCATCTTAGCGGCATGAGCCAATATTTATTGATTAAAAGCTTGGCTTTTCCATTTCAGAGTCGATTCGAGCGGAAATATTATAAATTATTTTCAAATATAACAAAAATGAGATTTATTTTCTAGTGCGGCAGTCATTGTTCAGCCCTCCCGTCAAATCCTCGATTAACGAAGTTATGATATGTCAATTATCATCTAAACTAGATCAAGATACGTTTGATAGATTGTCATCGGGTATTAAAGGATAATATTATTTTGATTTTATATACACTTTAAAAAAAACATGGTAAAGCAAGAAAAAGGGGAGAAAAAGTAGTAGGGCTATAAAAAAATATTATATACTTTGGTCGGATAAAAATGTTCAAGACACAATTGGAGTCATAAATTTAAAAAAAAAATAAGGGGTTCATTTTTGGGGTAAAAAATGGTTGATTTAGTCTATATGTTTTATATATATTTTATTGTTAAATAAGATAAGGCCTGATGTGGAATATTTCTTAGTAGAACTGCGCCGATTTTCTGCCTACATTAAAATGGCTTGGTTATGTATATTTGAAATTAGCACAAAATTAACAAATCTTTTTTAATATATAGCCATCTTGGAATGTTAATAACACTTGGAAATATGTTATAAAACAAAAATATTATAAAGAGGAGTTGGTAGCGGCTAATTAACTTAGCCTACATTGCAAAGCCGATCAAGTTTTGAATAAATTTTACAGTCGTCCGATTCTAAACGCTTCCCAAAATAATTCCATATTATAACAATTTATGTTGTTAATTTTAAGATGTTTATGCATAAAAATTTAGCTGCTAATCTCTTACCAATTCTGTGATATACAAATTTATAATTTAGTCATTTCAATATCGGTACAGTCCTAATAATAATATCAGATTTTTAGGATTATAAATTTTTAACCAAAACTAGAGATAGGCTCTTTTTATAAGATGCCAGGGATTAGAATAAATATTAGAAAAAATATAACTTTTTTTTCTAGAGTTTACCCAAACTATGTATGATATCTTATAAATGCGTGATGTGGGCTAAGGTACTTAATAGAGGGTTATGCTGATCCACAAATTTTTTTCCGATCCGATATTTTTAGATATTCATACAAAATCGATCTGATATATATCATAATATTTGGCATGAAAATATAAGCTATTAACTATTAGCAAAACAAGAAATAACTTTGTTTTTCGTTTCTCATGGTCAATGCGATATTTGATGTATATTCACGAACCTCATTATCTTAATAAAAATATGGGTAATGTTTATGGCTGATTCTGAATTCATTAAATATAAATCGTTTTCTAGTTGCAAAAATAAAATAATATTTTTTTTCAAATTTTTCTTATATATGCTATTTTTAAAAAATTTTATAATTACAAATAAATTGAATTTTTGATTATTAGCAAATTATGTGTAAAAAATAAATGATATAATTATACATAATCATAAAATAACCAATAACAATAATAATATCGGATTTGATCGGATTTATAACATTCCATTAGTATTTAATATAGGCTAGTACTTCATCATTTGCCTAAAAATTTATGATAATAATATTTATAAAGAAAAGGCGCTACTCTTCTAAACAAGTTTTAAAAAAGCGTTTATCAATATTTAAAAATCTAATTATACCACTGGATGAAGGGTGATCTCCCGGACCGTTTTTGTGTTTTCTTTTTACTTAAGAAGCATCAATTAAAACACATAAATTATATTTTTACATTCAAAAAATAATTATAATTTTAAGCACAAATAATTATTTTCGGCGGAATTTAGGGTACGTGAAGCATAGGCGAGTGGATGTTCGCTACCGTCCAAAAATATGGGGTAAGACTGCTCCAATTCCATACGGAAAGGTATCGCAGGCTAAGGTTAGAGGAAAACAGGGATTATAATGGCATAAGGTTAGAGGTGACGTTAAAATGGCTTTTATTTGCTTATTTATTTCACAACTTTTATCCCAAGAAAATTCGGTCCCGTGTCTCAGTAAATTATAAATAGGTCGAGCAATTATAGATAAATTGGGCATAAATTTTGCATAGTAAGTTATTAGTCCGATATACTTGCATTTGGGTAAGTTAATTTTAAGGTTGTATTTGTGTAAACGTTGGAATAGTTTATGAATATTGTCCAAATGTTCCTCTTCTGTCTCCCGTGACTATTATGTCGTCCAAGTAGGTGGTAGTTTTGTTTAAACCAGCAATTATCATATCCATGGTTCGTTGAAAAATCATGGTAGCGGTGGAGACCCAAATGGTAATCTATTTACTCGGTAGTGACCAAGATGTGTACTAATATTAGGATTTCACTTGTTTCTTGGGTAACCGGAATTTGCATATAGTCATCCTTTAAATCGATTGTGGTGAATAAGGTACCTCCTTCTAATTGCCCAAATATATCTTCTATTTTAGAGAGTGGGTAACAGTCGTTTTCGACCCATGGGTCAATCGTTACTTTATAGTCTATACATAATCGGAGTGTACCGTCTGATTTAATTATTGAAACAATAGGAGATCCCCATGGGCTATATCCACATTTTTCAATTATGTTGGCTTGTTCCCATCGATTATATTCTTCTTCAATTCGAGTTTTATAGGCGTAGGGTACTTGCCTAGGTTTAATAAATTTGGGTTTGGCCTCTGGTTTTAATCATACATTGATGGGGGTAGGAAATTTCCCTAGACTATCGTTGGCGATATTTGGAAATGCGGCTAGTAGCTTAGTGGTGTTGGTTTCCGTGGGTATGTTTAACATAATCGAGGGAAAAATTTTAATGATATCTCTGCCTATAATTGGTTTGTTATTATTATCAGAGATTAGCAATGTTATGAACGCCGATTGTTGGTTATATTTTATCCAGGTTGTGAGGTTCCTAATATGTGTATGTCCGGAATATGATTTGATTTGAATGGTAGATGTGGATAGAAGAAGATCGCTAAAATGCCCTTTATAAATATCCCTTCCTAGGATGGATATGGGTGAACCAGTATCGATTTTCATGTTTATTGGAATGTAATTTATAATTATGGAGGTTTGATATGCTTCGGTTATTGTTTTGTTCAACCTGGTTAATGGTTAGGGATGTGAGACTGGCAAGATTATCTTTACTAGGGTTAACTTCCATGGTTAAAGAATTTATTGTTTGATGATCGGTTGGATCAGTTTCGTACTGCTCTATAGCCTGTATTACCTTATTCGTAATGGTTTTGTTTGGTTCGTTTTGTATGGTGGGATTTGTGCTTCTACCTGGATAAGTTCGATTCTTTAGGCAATTTTGTTCTATATGCCCTAATCGTCCACAATTATAGCATTTGGGAGTATGGTATGGTATGTGTTGGTTATACGGGGGCCATTGCGATGAATTGTTTGTAGGATATTGATGCCGTATTTGGGCGTTGTATATTATCATAATTATTTTTTGAAGTAGTTGACCAAGATTCCATTAATTCTTCTGTTTTGGAAGTTTCTATATCATCTTGGAATTGGGTTGGAGCTAGCGATAATAATTAGTGTTTAGTCGTAGTTGATTTTATGCCAAACATAAATTGTGTTGACAAGAACAACTCTTTTAAATCGCAATTGTGGGCGATTTCGACCAGGGCTTCCGCGTACTGAGTTACACTTTCATTTATCTCTTGGATTCTTTTCCTCAAACGGTAGCGGGCTTGATTTGGTGACTCCGTCAATTTTTTGATCGAATCCTTGGTTTTCAATAGCATCAGGAGAAAATATATTTTTTAGTTTTGCAAACCGCAATACATGAGGAATAGTATTCCTTTCTCTACATCATCCGATATATTCGTTGTTTTAAAACAAAACCGGTTTAAATAATTACACAAGGGTTCCGATACCGAATATTCTTTGATGTTCAGTGGTCTGTACCCCCAGGGCAATTGAAGTGTCGGGGCTTCAGTTATGGGTAGAATGGTAGGTGGCACGTCTCGATGAGATTTGTTATGCGTCATTTTAGATTATATCATTGAAATTTTCCCCTCGTTTATGTTAAACATATCCACGGAAACCAACACAACTAAGCTACTAGCCGCTTTCCAAATATCGCCAACGATAGTCTAAGGAAATTTCCTACCCCAATCAATGTACGATTAAAACCAGAGGCCAAACCCAAATTTATTAAACCTAGGCAAGTACCCTAGGCCTACAAAACTCAAATTGAAGAAGAATTAAATCGATGGGAACAAGCCAACTTTATTAAAAAATGTGATAGCCCATGGGGATCTCCTATTGTTCCAATAACCAAATCACACGGTACACTCCGATTATGTATAGACTATAAAGTGTTGATTAACCCATGGGTCGAAAACGATTGTTACCCACTCCCTAGAATAGAAGATATAATAGGGCAATTAGAAGGAGGTATTCACCACAATCGATTTAAAGGATGCCTATATTCAAATTCCGGTTACTCAAGAAACGAAACCCTAACTATTAGTACACATCTTGGTCCCTACGAGTAAATAGACTACCATTCGGGGTCTCCACCGCTCCTATGATTTTTCAACGAACCATGGATATGATAATTGCAGGTTTAAACAAAACTACCACTTACTTAGACGACATAATAGTCACGGGAACGATAGAAGTGGGACATTGGGACAATATTCATAAACTATTCCAACGTTTACACAAATACAACCTTAAAATTAACTTACCCAAATGCAAATTCGCCCAACCATCCGTTGAGTATCTAGGACATATAATAGATGGTAATGGTTTATCTCCAAATAACAAAAACACCGAAGCCGTTGTAAACAACCCCACATCCAAAATGGTCAAAGTCGTACAATCCTATATCGGACTAATAACTTACTATGCTAAATTTATCCCCAATTTATCTACAATTGCTCGACCTATTTACAATGAGACACGGGACCGAATTTTTCTGATAAAAGCCATTTTAACGTCACTTCTAACCTTATGCCATTATAATCCCTGTTTTCCTCTAACCTTAGCCTGCGATGCCTCTCCTTATGGAATTGGAGCCGTCTTTATTTTATTGGACGGTAGCGAACATCCACTCGTTTATGCTTCACGTACCCTAAATTCCGCCGAAAAAAATTATTCCCAAATAAACAAAAAGACCTTAGTAATAATTTTTGCAGTAAAACGATTTCGTCAATTTTTAATAGGAAGACAATTCACATTGAAAACCGATCATAAACCGTTCCAAAAAAGAATTCCCACTATCGCTTCATCCCGTCTACAAAGATGGGGAATTATTCTATCCAGTTATCAATATAATATCGAATTCATGGAAGGGATAAATAATAAAAATGCCGATGCGCTCTCTCGCAAACCGTTACCTGAAACTATTTCCGTTAACAAAAACAGTGATTTAAAACATTTGATAATCAATCAAATATATCAATTAACTTTTAACTCTAAAAACTTGACTCAGGAAACACAAAACGATCCAATTCTATCCCAAATCGTAAAATATTTAACCACCGAATGGCTAGATAAAATAATAAATATTAACATATTACCTTATCAACATCTAAAACATGAACTCACAATTGAATACTCCATTTTGTTAAGAAATACACGCATAATAATTCCACAGGCCCTACAAACAGAGATTCTCACCGAATTACATCTAAGTCATGCTAGTATAATTCAGATGAAAGATTCAGCCCGTGCCTATGTATGGTGGCCCTCCATCACTAAGGATATTCATTCCCTGTATGAACTATGCCCACATTGCAATATATACAAGGAAAACACACCTCGGATAAAGGACACCCTTGGCCAAGTGCACAGAAAGTCGCGGAAAAAATCCACATAGGTATAGCTGGTCCCATATTCAATAAATCTTGGTTAATCTTCATCGACACCTTTTCTAGATGGGTCGACGTCACCAACCTTCCATCGATCTCATCCATCAATGTCATTAAAGCCTTAACCAATACATTTAAATATACTGGTTTTCCTGCTACCCTAGTATCCGACAACGGCACTCAATTTATTAGCGAAAATTTCCAAGAGTTCTGCTAAAAAAATTACATTAAGCATCTTACCACAGCACCCTACATGCCGCAGAGCAATGGAATGGCCGAAAGATTCGTTCGAACCTTCAAAAACGCTATGCAAGGCATGAACCCTCTTACCATACAAGAACACTTAACAAATTTTTACATAATTACAACAACACAAAACACACCACAACGAAGTTGGCCCCAGCAATAGTATTTTTAGGCCGACGACTCCGAAACCTTTTAGACCGTCTAAACGAACGACTTAAGCCCGAAACAGCCATAACTACCCCGCCCAAAAAGAACCGTACGAAAAGGAGCAAAAGTGTGAGACCACACCCATAAAAAATCTCCTTGATGGAAAAAGGGGTTGACGAAAAACACCTTAGGTAATCGCTTGTATCAAATCAAAATACAACAAGGAGCATAGATTTTCCACGATAAACAAATCAGAAAAAGAAAATCCCTCGAAAAATCAAATCACTAATTTTAAATGTTATTTTATCTCTTTTTTTGCCATATTTTTTTACCATCCCTTGAATAATCAAATACGAACTTTAAATATATTTTTTTTTCTTCTTTTTTAATATATACCTCCCCCCCCCCCCCGTTACCTATTTAGGGAGGGAGGAGCGTGAATTAGTTTTATATTTATAGCTTATGTATGTATTATTTTTAGAGGCGTTTTATAGGTATTTTAATTATTTCTTTATTTGACATTAGGCTTTTCATTTAGTTTTATCTTGGTAATTAGTTGTTTTTTTTGGGGGGGGGGGGGGGTTTCGGAACTCTAAATAGTCATAGGATTTTTCTTTTTAAGAGTAGTCGAGACAGGGACCATCCCTCCCCATTGCCTATTTAGGGAGGAGTGTTATAAACTTCAATTAAAAATAGTTTGCTCTTATCCTTCGTTGGTTGTCTTCAATACATAAAAATTAAATAAAGTTTTTTCTTTTGTCTTATCGTAAATACATAAAAATTAAATAAAGTTTTCTTTTGTTTTGAATTAAATACTTTTAAGGTTAACATATGGTTTTTGTGTTTTCTTTTTACTTAGGGGTTTTACTTACTTTTGGAGTCTTTAATAGGGTGTTCGGCAAATATAAGTTAGATATTTAGATCCGGGAGATCGCTCTGCATCCAGTGGTCTAAGTAGAGTTCCGGGTAGGTTTTATCCCTTTCGTTTTGCAAAAACGTTCTTTTTTCACTTTGCGCCAATTTTATTTTCATTTATAATTGCGCGTTTTATTTTCCCTATATATAAGAGACCAATTTTTATACTCAAGATATACTTTAAATTTTGGTTTTCAAATTTGCTTAAAATTATAATTATTTTATGTACGTTAAAATAAATTTATGTGTTTTAATTGATGCTTCTTAAATTTTTTATAATTAATTATTTTCTTTTTTTAAATAAAATTTATAAGTACTGTAGTTGCTTTTAATAATCTAAAATGAGGCATACCAAATCTCATCGAGACGTGCCACCTACCATTTTACCCATAACTGAAGCCCCGACATTTTGAAGTTTATAACAAAAAAAAGCTTAAAAAGAAATTAATCTTAATTTTAAGTCAAATAATAGTAATAATCGGAGTTTGAAAAATAATCCTCACTTATGAGCAAAAATCTCTTTCAGAGATTTTTGATTAAATTTTATCTTAAAATGCCAAAATCTCTTTATAATTTTCATGCAGAAAAAATCTTTCAAGGTAAAATAAAAAATTTAGGAATTAGCATTTTTTTAAACTTTGATAATAATTATATAAATTAAATATTTTCATTCTTGCGAATATTTTTGGAGAAAAAAATGAAACATTTTTATTTTGAATTAAATTCAAAAAATTTTAACTCGAATAATTCAAATTTTTTTAAAAATGCTTTGTAAAATTTAAACTATATTTTATTTATAAGGATATCTAATTTTGACGACAAATATTCTTAAACTATGCATATAAATTACTTTAAAAAAATATAAAACGGTATTTTATTTTTGTCCAGCATCTTTTGGTTCGTATTTTACTTCAGGATTTGATTTTATATATAATTAAAATATTTTAATCTTCTTATTATATTAAGTTCTAACTGGTCAATTTTGCATAAGTGTTTTTTAAATATGAATCACCGGTATCTTGAATTATTAATTTTTGTGCTTATGATAACATAAAAAAAAATATATTTAAAATAAATTTTTGGGTGGATTTTTTTATAATCTAAAAGGGTGGAGATAACTGGAGAAATGTGGAGTTCTCAATTCTATAATAAATAAGCACCTGTGTTATCATTTTGATCTTACTTGTATGTTTAAAAAAGTTTACGAATCAAATTTGCTTAACGTGTTCAAACATTGTTGTCCAATTAACGCCAACTATCTCGCAAACCAAAGTTCATCCATGACTCTTTACCAAATCTCATCCGCCAATCAACAAAATCACGAATCAATCGATAAGGATGTCGATAAATTATTAATTAATTTTACAGCCTCCGCTAAGGATATCGATTTAGCTATCGCTTCCTTCGATACCAATAACAATGTTGATAAAAATGATTTTTGCGAATTCGGAAAAATTTGGAATCTCGTTAAAGCCTTATGGGGTCAAGTGCCTGATTATAATTCAAGTTTAACATATTACAAAAGAATATATTAAATGACGCCATTTTGCATGCAATATTTTATAAATTAACCTCCGGAAATTATTATACTGGAATGGATAGTAATTTGGGATTGGGATTAATTCATTTTTTAAATTTATTTTCAAGATTGAATTTAGATCTTTGACGAAAAGGCATAATAATGTTTCTATTAAGGAAAATCACATAAATTTGCCTGCTTTTTAGAAAATATTTAACACAATCAAAAAATGTTCCCCTACACTTTTTGAGCGATGAAAGCAGAGTACAAAAATACCCCCCTCCAAAAAAGCCGTTAATTATTTTTTGACTCTCCACCTCAATTATAGAAAAAAAATTGTTATTGAATCAGTCTTTAATATTATAAAAGAAATATATACTTTAAAAAAAAATTTAAAATTGATAATTGACAAATTAGAAAGAGAATAGAAAGAATTTATGATTTCGTCAATATTTAATTGTTTAAATAAATTTCGTTCCATTGATAAAATGGTTACATTATTAAGAAAAGGATAATACTACAAATTCATGTTTTAATTAGTTTAATCTTACTCATGACCTTTTCGGCACAATATGAGGTAGTAGGAATAGTTAATAAATATTAATATAAAATTGATAAATTAGAGAAAGTAAAAAAATCAGAGACCTGCAGAGGTAACATTTGTACGACCCGGCCCTGTCCGGATTTTTTTTGTCGAAAATTATTTTCGGCCCGGCCCGGTTTTTTTTAAAATATATATTTTATTTATTTTTGATTTTTATAGATAATGGCGATTTCAAATATTTGGTTTTAAAATATACGGGGCTCGGATATTTAAAAAAAAATATTTTCAGGCCCGGCCCGGTCCGGTTATATTTAAAAAAAATTAAAATACGACCCGGCCCGTGTTCCCGGGCCAGGTCGGGCTTAGGGCTGGGCCTGAAAAAAATTAAAAAGTAAACTAAAATTAACGAACAGTTATTCCAGTCTGAATCATAACTCAAAATCAGCATCAGAAGAACTAAATAATGGATTAATATAAATATTTTAATAAAATCAATTTACAATACTCAGAAACTGACAAGTCTTTAGATTCTTTAACCTCTAGGTCATCTGTAATAGTTACATCGCCCATTTTAAGCTATCATATGAATATTTCCAAATTTAGACATTTGTTCAAAGACTTGCCTAGAATTTAAATGGTAAAATTCGTAGATATCCTCATCATCTTTAGCAAATGTCATTTCCGCCATTCCATTTGATGTAAAAAATGATGTTTGATTTTAAAATTTATTCTATTCATCATAAAATCTTTCATTAAACTGCATTATTATCAAATCAAGTGCAGCATAAAACACACTGGTTTTAAAGCGAAAATAAAATATTATATTTAATAATGAAAGTTTAAAATTTTTTTGGATTATAATGATTGAAGCCTTGAACTTTCAAAATCAAATGGCAGATTCTCTTTCATGAAATTTGTGCCTTTGAAAAAACAAATTCAGTCTCCTTTGTCTATCAAGATTAAAAAAATGATATGAGACTAATTTAAATTATACTTTTCAAATTAATCAGGCAATCCGTTTCCACATCATTCGGATTTATTTCAAAACTTTATACCCTTATTTGTAATTGCCAAACTTTTTATCAACAATATTTAATCCAAAACATAAAGTGATAAAATAAAATTTTTATATTATAAACTATATCACCATGGTAGACTAGTGACAGGATCTTCAGAATCCTGTAAATTTGTCAAAGCTATCCACAAGGCATCATAAAGTAAATTATACATAGCTTTATATGATGTGATAGTCAGCTTCTATAAATATAATAAATAAACATTTAAAATCTAAACAGTAGAGTAACATTATCGAGTGGTATTCTTGATGCGTACAAATCATTGCGATTTAGTCACTACATAACTTTGACTTGCTTTGTGCACTGCATACCTTTCTTTAACACAATTGAAATACACGTGACTCTCGTCTAAAATCCCTAAAAGATTTCTTAGTTTTTTTTATCAATTGGCATAATTAAACAATGATTAAATTTAATCGATGACAATAGCACCAAATAAAAGCTACCTTTGGCCCAGCTCTAATCAAAGCAAATACTCCATAGCTTCCACTCATGTTTGAAGCATCATCATAGCTTTGCCCAACTAAGGATTCAAGGGGTAGATTCATTTAACTAAGTTTGTATATTATATTTTTTTAAAAGACCACTCGTGTTATCTGTACAATATATATATCTATGAATCTTTCATTCGGCTTAGACATTTCACTATTTTTAATATATCTTACTAAAAAAGCTATTGCTTCATTTCGAAACATTAACCATAACTGAAAAGCATCTGTGAGATTCAATTGCTCTTTGAATAATATATAATATATTTTTCTTGGTTTCATGGGATTTTAATCCCTTTTGTTTTTTTTTCTTTCAAAGAACAAAAAATTTCAAACCCACTTTCAAATTTTAAGAAGCAGTTGCTTCGTACCTCTCGTCGTTATAGGATGCACTAGTTAGACCATGCAGACCTCTAATACATATCCTTGTCCATAATGTGTGTTTTTTATAGGATTTATCATTCAAAAAAGGGAAAGGTTCGATCAAAAAAAAGAAAAATTTTCATTCAAAAAATAATAATTTTTATATTTTTTAAAATTTTTTTTATAAATTTTATTTTTGTCATTTAAATCTATCGGAAATGTCATTTCCTTCTCATTTTTCTTTATTTTAGATTTTCCATTTTTTATGAAACCTTTTTATGTTGGGTTTTTATTCTTTTTTATTTTGACATTTTTTTTTGAATCAAAAACCCTTAGATTATATTAATATGTTTAGAACAATGTATAGATATTTAACTTAGATATAGAGCAAATATATAACATGTAAAAATAAGAAATTTTTTAAAAATAGTCATTTACTATTTCCCATTTATTTTAAACACATATTAAATTTATAATGCTCAAATCAATATTATTTATTAAAATTGTGGGGTGTCTCCGTTACTTTTTAACATAAAATGATAAAGTGATCAAAGGAACGTTAGACACCGGCAATCTAATGGAACCATATTTACATGATAAACTCTACCTTGAAAATAAAATGATATCCTATGTGGACCATATAGTTTTGTTAACAAAGAATCTAAGAGACACAAGAACTTTCTTCATCACTAACAGTCATAGAGTTTGGATTAGATAGAATAATTTCTACAAAACTTTAATCCCTCCCTTTTTACCACTAAAGTCAAATACCTTGGCGTAACCCTAGAAAACAATGATAGTTGCTAAGAAAAACTGAAAATTAGAATAATAATGGAAGGAAAGAATTCCATAAAATTTTAAACTATGAAAAACAAGAACAAAGGAGATCTCCGTATTTAATCCTTCATAAATAAATTGCTCAGAATAATAAACGGAAATTTTTTTACACATCTCTGCAAATTATGGAAGATTTGTAAAATTTCTCCTATACGCATAAAAAAAGCCACGCATTAAATTCTTAGCCCACATCATAAGAAATTCTGCGCTCCACAGATGACCACCTCCTATTCTGTCTTCTTATAAGATCGGATTCATAGTAGCATCAAATCTAAAGGTGCGCTACAGGGGAAGTCACGGCATAAAAATCACCGGTTTTGAATGGGCGTGGATATTCATTTTGATTGAATCCGAAAATTTAATAATACTTTTTAGGAATATAATCTTTTAATATAATCCGAGGACTATTATTTAAACGTTTATTGGTTGATTATAAAAGGATTGGGCCAAAAAAACCGATACCCGTGAACTGCTGTTTATTTAATTACTTTATAAAGGGTGGGAGCTGATTTTGATTTTTCTATGGTTGAAGAGTAATGTTACTTGATTTAAATTTGATACGACTTGAACTCCTAAAGACATCTTCATGGTAACCACTAGATGTCTGCATTGGGCGGGTTTTTGGTAGGCGGGCGAGTAGGTTAAAAAATTTAAAGAACGGGTGGGTGGGTTAAGAAAAATTTTAAACCATGGGTGGAAGGGTTAAAAAATTTACAACTTTTATTTGTTATTTAAAATCATTTAATTAAACATTGAAAAAAATTCCCGATATTTCAACATTTTTAATACCAAAGTACTGAAAACTGTGGACGAAATTTCAACATTTTTAATACCAAAGTACTGTTAACTGTGGATGTTATCGTCGGAAAAATTAATTAGGTAAAAAATATATTGTATGTTGGATTTGATTTGCACGGAAGAATACAACATCAACATAGATAAAGATCTGATTTATTCGTTTCCCCAAAAACAAAGAGAATTCATAAGATGATTAAATTATAAATACAATCTTTGAAATAGATAGCATCAACGTCAGGATTAAACATTAACAGATAAGAAGATGTGGCTATTACAGAGGAGAGCATTACCTAATGACATAACAAAATATTTAAATCTTAAATTAACGAGTTTTTGTTTTGTTTAATATAGCTACTTAGTTTAGTTTAAGTTAACAATTTATAAATAATTAATTTAAGTTATTTTTTTTAATATTTATTATTAATGGTTTCACTTTTTATTTAAATATCTTATTTGAGTGGAGGATATACTTCAAACGGATATACTACTTTGATGGAAACGACAAGAAAAAAATTTATTAAAGCTATCAAGATTAGCTAGAAAAATAATATTGATATATCCAGCAACTAGTGCTTCTTCTGAACGAGAAATTAGCATTGCTGGAAGGTTTTTAGTATCAATAAATAATAATTTTTTATTATTACATAAATATTTTATTAGATCAAATAAATTCCTTATCCATAATTTAAATTGAATATTTTTTATGCTTAATTTAGCAATTTCCTAAATGATGAAAATTTTTTGTAGGAATGTAGCGCTGAAACGAAATCATTTTTTTAGATGTTAAAAAAATTAAAAGAATGAACTTATTTAAATTTTATATGGGCGGCATGAGTTTAAATTTTTTTTATAAATATGGGAGGACAGGTAAATAAACTATTAAATGGTGGGCGGGTATATTTTTATAAAACTATCAACGGGTTAGGCGGACGGTTAAATTTTTTTTAAAATATTGGACGAGCCCGCCAATCCCGCCCATTGTAGTAACTACGTCCTTATCTTGACATCTTTTAAGGTCGAATTCATAGACTCGTCAAATCTATAGGTGTGCTTGGGGTCAAGGATTAAAAATCACAGGGTTTGATTGGATGTGATGTGAATATATATTTTGCTTGAATCAGATAAATTTAATTTTTAAATTGTTTTCTTTAGGAATATAACCTAATTAGGGCTTCACCGATATTTAAGGGGCCTGGTCATTATGCTTCGACTGGAATATAACTCATAAAATTATGCTATCAAACAAAAATATTTTTAGGAGGGATTAGCAGTGGCAAACAAAATTAGCCTGTGTTTTGGATCGGCAAAACCGATCTAACTTTACAAATTTTAATTCGTCCAAATTTGCTTTCTTAAAATAATTTTTTGTAGCAAACTGTAATTGTATATCGATATTCCATAGATGTTTAAAATTAGATGCCGATTTCGTGCCAATTCTGAAATATACGCATTTATATAATTGAGGTCCTTTCAATATCGGCAAAGATATCGCTACAGCCCAATTTTTAATTATAAATTATAATATATATTTTTTTAAAATTATACATTATTTTACAAAAAGTAATATCTTAGAAAACTAGTATACATTTTATAAAAAAAATCCACACCCCCCCCCCACCCCCTTCCCTTTCAGGATGAAGGTAAAATAAATTCAAATATAAAAATTTTGATAATCATGCTTTGAAAAATTTTAAAAAAATACATTTTAATTTAGAAATAGTTCACGAATTTTTAGGTCTGACAGGAGTGATCAAATTTTATACGTGAGTGAACGGGTCGAGCAAATAAAAAGTTTGGCATTGTTGTGAAATGAGCTTCTAATTTTTTTTAGTACCAGCGTGAGTGGGCAGCAAAATACTAAGCTCCCACCTTCGGATCTCTTTTCTGTCAAATGAGAAAACAGATGTAAGTGAGATTGACATTAGAAGGAAAGGAGCTCCGATGCTACTATGAATTCAGCTTAAGTCGATTCCTCTATCACGTTATAGATAACTTATTATATTATTAAATTTTGGGGAGGGGTATTATTTACACAATATCCATTTTTTCTATTTTGTTAGATGCGATTAATTCAGATTATCAATTGCAACAAGCTCGCAAAATAGCCTTGATTAAATGGATCATCAAATATTCGCCTAATACTATGATGCCACATAATGTATTTATTTTTATTATAATAAATTTATGACTTTTTTATTTTAATTTGAAAACGATTACAATTTAAAATATAAGATACCATATAAGCTATGTGGTAAATAGGATTTTTTGAAGTCGGTCAAATTTGATCAGGTATAAAATTCATATTTTTATGATTGAGGGTAAACCCGGTAATTGGAGTGAGATCAGAAATGATAGATGGAAGTTTAATTAATTCATCTATAGTCCTGGGTCTCATCATCAAAATACCATATATTTAAAATGACATTGCATTTGCTGTATATTACATTTGACAAAAAAAATACACTAATTTATTTCAAAATTAGATTACTCTTACCTGAAATTATAATTATTTTCATTTAAGCAATTTTATTTTTTGTTAAATTGAGGCTTTTTTTTTATCCGTTTACAGCCAAAAAGGAAAGAATAAAGAATTAAATTTAAATAAGAAATTAAAAGACAAATAAATTTAAAATAGCTAAAACTGAGAGGGAAATCAAGCAGGTAGACCATTTTGTTGTAAAAAGTAAATATTGAATATTATAGCAAATGTCTACGAATAGTCGGCCTATTTTTTCATATATATTTATAACGCTATCTCCTAGTAAAATGCCTTTAATTTGTAATTATTTTCCTATTTTTTTTTCTTCTTCAAACCGCATCATATTATTTTATATATAAAGCTGCGCCGATATAGATATCGTTATCAATCTATATTTTAAAAAAATCTATTTGTTACCTATTTTATTTAAAAAAAAACAATATTTTTATCAACACTTTCTGTCATATCGGTTTTAATTTTAATTTTAGGATGTTGAGCCCACTATTGGCGGATATAGAAGAAGGAAAATAGATTTGTGTGTTTTTTTCTCAATTTGAACCAAATTATTTTGATTATGAAACCTATACTGATTTTCGAAATTATAAATATTCTTTTCATGATTCTATACTTACAAATAACATAACAAGTTAAAGATTTATATTTAAAAAAAATAAATATTTACTATATATCTATAAGATATATAAAATATATAAAATAAATTTAATAATATCAAGAAAAACAAAACTTAATTAAGCTAGCTAGCAGGACTTCGTGTTCAATATATAGAACAGTTGAATCTGCAAATTTCCATAGATATTTAGCCGTAAGCAAGGGGTGTGAATCCAAATTAAGGATGTAAAAGTATAAAATTGTTTGGCTGGACATCAATTTTCTCTAAATAGAGTTTAAAATTTCTGAATCCCATTTGGGCTCACAGCCTTTGCCCATAGTACTGACCCTCTTTTATGGCACCTATAATTAAATGTAACTTTCGTCCTATTTATATTTTTGCATAATGAGCTTGATTCGATCTTTCTAGCTAGATTACCTATAAAGATAGGAATTCCCATTCAAAGTGCATCAGTATCCCTCTTATAAGCCTCTAGATATTTGTTGAGAAACTAAATTTTATTAAGAAAAATTGGCAGAATGCCAATATCCATGGTATCAACCCGATACTAATCAGTATCGATATTGGCAAATAATGAGCGATCGGGTGCGGTGCATCTTTGCTTCAAATAATTTTTTATTAAAAAAAAGTTAAATCGCAGCTACGGTTCTGAAAATTCTTCTCTATTGAAATCGTTTTTGCAGACGTTCAATCTTGCCCAATCATGCGAATCATTATGTTCGAAAAGGAATTACAAGTTTACTAAACAGTATCATTTTTATAAAAAATAATAGTTTGGATCATGTTGAAAACGAAGAAATAAAATAATCATCAATTTTAATTGAAATTGAAATGCATCTAAATATATCTCTACTTCATACTTAACTTAGGACAGCTCTCTTAATGTCCCAATCTCAGTCCCCCTCTTCCAACCTATGCACTTTAAACGGGCCTCTCCGAGTGTATCAACTGCTGACAAACACTCATGATCAAAATTTAGCTGCATACCAAGAAAATAACTGTCTAGTTTGGGTGCAGACTTTGGCTATGCATCTACTTTTTCCTTCCAACAAAAAAGTTAAATTATTGGACCATACTGAAGACTACATTGATCGCAAGGAGATGAACATGAATGGTTATACCAATTATGGAAGCTCTATAGAGAGCTGTCTCAAACGATACGAAGATTCGATTGGTTTAGCCCCCGGGACATTGTTTACGCCGGTAATATAATATCATTATTTTTTTATTTGTATTTAATTTACTATGTATCTGTAGTAATATAGTTGAATTATATGTAGAATTACCTTAAAAGCGATTTATCACCACTCTAAAAATAGTCCAGCTCATTGGAACTAGAGTTTGCTTGCAGTTGATTTAAAATGTTTAAGCAAATTCGGAATGCTTTTTAATATTTATATTATTTATGAACCCTCCCCCCCCCCTCCATTTAGGAAATAATGGTAAAGCCGAATTATACGCCATTCGTAATCATCTCTTCTAAATGTCTTACCTCGAATATCGGGAATAATATTCCCATGATGTCTATGCCCAACGAATGTGATTCGGAATCAACGTTGAGCCCCGTGTCCTATCTGCAGAATACTTTTCATTTGTTGAGATTTTTTTGCAGACCATTCACTTACCCATTATCTCAGGCTTTGAGTCCTTACGGTTATACAATGTATGGCGATGTTGCGGGGGGAGACAACTGCGTAAGACAATTTGGATACCTTAATAGGTTTAATTTTCTAAGTTATAGAATTTTATGACCTGAAGAATATGGCTCATTCTATTTAAATTATAAATTAAATTTCGGTTCGAAATTGTCATTAAAAGTGTTGATTATAATCACTTTTAAGAAAATATCTTGATAATTTCATATACTTTATTTTTGTGATGAAACTTATTAAAAGTGAATTTTAATAAGAAGTTATTGATTTCGATTTATCAGTATTTCGGACACTTACTTGGTATAAAAGTTAGTTAGATAATGTTGTTAATTTTTTATCCAAATCAGAATTTTAAAACTATCTTTAAAAAAAGGCCTGCCATCTTGATTTAACGAATATCAAATTTTACTCGGTAAATGTTTTTAAAAAATCTAAGTCTTTATGATGTTATTTTCGTAATATTTTAATAAAAATTAATTTCTAATTTCATCTTCGAAGATATTTTATGCATGAAAATTACAAAAGATTTTGGTATTTTTAGGTAAAATTGAATCAAAAATCATTCTTTTAAATTTTTTTTCAAATTCTGGTTTTTTAATATCGTCATTTTGGACGATGAAACTCAATATTTTATTACATTTATACATTCATATTAGAAAAATGGAGAAGTTGCAATTTTAATTTTTTTTATAGTCTTATTTTATTTTGAATAAATTAATGGTTGGACGCGATCAAATATTTTGTCGAAAAATTAAAAATTAATATTTTACAAAATAATTTTTAGACATGATGTTTCTTGCTAAAATAAGCCACTTTATATTATAAATTACCATTTTTTGAATAAAAATATCGTATAAAAATTAAAATGGTATTTTTTTGCATATGGGGGGGGGGGGGCTGGGCTATCTATAAAAAAAACAAACATGATGTTAATGATTTAATATAAATGTGTGCTAAAATATAAATAATTATTTTATATAGAATGGGTAGTAGAAGTAAGTTAATAACTTTCATAATGTAAAAACATTTAAAATGTGACATTTCTTGGGTTCGACTGCGGGAGCTATAATTAAATTTACTAGATTGTCCAATAATACTAATTTATTAACGAGTAGAGTTGATAGCATTAGAGTCCTGTAAATTAAAAAATTTTCGCCTTCGTGACTTTTAACAACTCGTATTTTTATTTTTATACAGCCCAAAAGTTTAAAAAAATATATATCAATTAACGCATTTATATGAAGTAAAATTAGATAAAAATCAGTAATTGCGTTGTCCTTCATAGATAAATTTTAATTATTACATTTTTTGGTAAATCAAAAGAGAACATCGTTTTCAAGTATATTTTTCAAGCCCGATCCGATTTTTAATATATGTCTAGGTCCGAGCCTGGCCCGGAATATTTTAAAAAAATTAGTGCGGGGCTCTTAAAATATATGTATGTTGCAATATAATTTTTATACTGGCTAATATAATTCTCAATATTGAAAATATTGCTGCAGTATATGACATAACTAAATCATTTTGGCTATCTTGTATATTATTTTAAGCTATTCTTAACTTACAGGTGAATATATTGAAATAAGCATAGATAATGTTTTAAGGGCAGGGGTATTATAAGTTTTATTTAAAAAAAACAGTTTTAAGATGGCATTATTTTTCACCTCTCGCAATCTATGGCCTCTAACCCTCGACCAATCACGTCGCGCGGCGCTTTTAATCGACAGATTGATAGTTCAATCAGAACCACTCTTGACTATTCCGTGGTTACGCTTGTGGTTACTCGCTTACAATTGGTCAGTCAATGGGACTAATGATACGGCGAATCAAGATCGAGAGGCACGTTTGATCGATCTTCGTGTTAGGGAGAAGACAATCAAAGATTTTTCTAATCTTTCATTCGTTTCTGATCATTTGCTAATCGTCTGCAAAGTAATAACTAATACATAATGGATGAATGTTTCAAATTAATATAGAATGTATAACTTTAATAAAGAAGTAGAATAATAAATTAAAGGGATAAATAATTAAATAAAGAAAACATTTCACTAAATTATATTATCAATCAAACAAGCATTAAAATTTATTACGTTATTTACAATAACAATTTTTTTTAAATGTACAGAAAGTTTTATCTCAACACGCCGGCGATAAATTAAACGAATTCCATTGTTGCATCAAACTGGGAGACCTTAATTCCGCTCATTCTTTATTCATTAATGATATCGCGCCTAATACCATATTAGAAGGTTTTTTATATACCTTTTTTGAGACTCCAGATGTGAGATAATTATGCAATGTTCACTGACATACAAAATGCGGAAGCCATGAGTTTTAGCATTTTTTCTAAACCTTAAGATATTTTCATTGGCTTAGAAATCATTATATTTTATCTAAGATATAAATTTTCATAACTTTAATCTTTAAATTTTAGGACATTTTAGATCTTTAAAACTTTGCTTAAATCAATTGAACGAGGCAGAAGGGTCGAACAATTTAGAAAATTGGCGATTCGGGGAATCAGCATATCAAAGATACCTCAATATTATTTGCACCGAGCAGGTTTTATATATAAATATTGCAGTAAACGATCCGTCATTTTACGGAGAGAAAATGAGATGCTGGCCAGTCTTTTAAATATTAAGGTCATAATAAATAATATATTAGCATCAATTACATAAATGCCGAAATCGAGAAATTAAAATTATTGAATAAATTTTTTAATTAGATCATTATTTAAAATTCGGTAGTGTTTTGTTTAGTAAATATTTAATCAGATGATAATGGATAAGCATGAAATAGATTCATTTTTCATACTTTGAATCTTAATATCTCCAAAAATATAGGAGTTGGCATGATAAAATTTTGACTAAACTTCAGTTACATATACGCTTTAGTTTGTGTAAAATTTTACCCAAATCCTAAGGGATCAATCTAATCATGATCGATTTTACTTGAAATGACCCATCTAGTCGTTTTTGGCCTTTTAAAATTTATTTTATATTAAATAAAAATATTTATTTACTGAATATTTGATGATTGAAAAAAGTAGATATTTAGAATAGGTATACCATACCAAATTTGATTTTATAGCTTAAACTCAATTTTATCATGTTAATGTTATATATAAGTTAATTTTAATTCAGTAATATCGATGTGTTTTTTAATAAAGTTCAAAATAAACTTGAAATCTCAACTAGTTCCATTAAAATCTATATAAACTGACAAAAAGAAAGTAAAACTGAGGGAAGCTTGCAGAGGTCTATTTTTGAGCCCGGCTTAGCCCCAATTTTTATAAAAAAATTATTTTCAAACCAAGCCTATCTATATATTTTTTTTATAAAAAAGTTTTTTATTACCCGGCCTTTGTTTTTTAATTTTTAAGCCCACCTTGGATATTTTAAAATTTTGTTAATGAATATTTTTGGTAGTATTTGTAAATTGTAATAAAGGAAATTTGAAAAATAAATGGTTTTAAGTGATCTATTATATAATTCTTCTATATGATTAATTAATTTAAATTTATTTTTAAAAATAATCAGCCCAGCCCTGGGTATTTTATTTCCAAGCCTATGTTTTTTTATTTCCTTTCCGACTCTGTATGAAATCTACCATTTTAGGGAAGAGAAAAGAAAGAAGAAGATGCCGCTTTAAACCAGCCTTGCAAGTCTTCCCTTTTTTTAATATTAAAGGCAGATTTAAGAGATAGTAGTTTTAGTTGAACTTAGCGTTCAAATCATTTAAAAGGTCTTTTATTTTTTTAATATATCATTTTTATTTTTCATGATTCAAAATTAGATGGATGAAGCTTCAATACCTTTAGATGATCTATTACAAAAAACGGAAATATTTTTGTCATTAATAAAGGATTGCTGTAGTTTACCCAGCATGACTAATAGTCAAAAGTAATTAATTTCATTAATTTTTTAATAGCTAAAATGAACCGAATGAAATTTATTTTTCCCCGCTACAAAAAAAATGCAAATAGAGAAAAGTTTAAATTCAATGCAAAAATATTTGGCTCTTACTTTTTTATGACAAAAAATTTTTGTTTCTGAAATAGATTACTATTTGACTAATAAAGCTATGTATTAAATAAAATATTAGAACCAGAAGGAATATTGAAGGAAATTAAAATTATAAAAATCAAAGATTAGTAAATGATTTAAAATTTCTATATATTTTATATAATTATTCATATCATTTTTTTATGTTTACGGAAAATAATTAAGACTCGCTAGGTATCTTTTGGTTCAAAATACAAGCTCAATATTTTTAAAATTCCTCAAATCACATTGTACCCTTGGTAAATTCAAATTCTTACCCAATAATATTAAGCAGGGTTTACTGAAAGATCTATTGGAATTAGAAAAATGTATTTACACTGCAAACAATTGGATCAAACATAATCAATTAGGAAATGATATTTCATCATTAATTGATGGACGGATAGGCAAAGATTTCGATTTCATGTTCAATGTCATGATTCCTATGCTTCGATGAAATAAATTCTCCCTTTTTTAGAAGCTTTTTATAATTATTTTCTTTTATATGAGATTTATGTTTTATAGCTTAACAATCATCAAATTTACTCTAAAAATGTTGAGATTTCATGTAAAGAGTGTATAATTTGTAAAATTTTCACCAACATATTTATTGTTTATGATATTGATTCACAATAAACTATATTATAATATGGAATTAAATATTAATTGTATTATGGGCATCAGATTAGGCGCAGGTTCTCAGTAAAAAAATTTATAAGCCGAGCCCGGCCCATGTATAATATTTAAAAAAATCCCAAGCCTATATAGGATTTTAAAGACCAAGGTGCAATATTCAAATCATCTGGCCTAAGATTCGTATGAGGATAAATTAGCAGGCTCCATGATATTTGTATTCGGGCCCTACTGAATTAATCGCTGGGTACCTTACATGTCTTCCTTGACTATAGATAGCAATTAAAACCATGTCTCCCTTTGGAATTAACAATATTTTACATTTTATGCATGCATGTGATCCAATTCGGTGGCCTATGGCAACTCTCAATGGTTCATCTGATACGAGACCAAGGTTAAGACTAAGAAATGCTTCCAATAACTATTCATACCATGATAAAAATAAATATTTTTAAAAAGAAAAAGTTCTTTTATAATATTTTCCAGTCATAATAAGGCTTTAAAAAATTTTCCCTGAACATCTTATAGTTGGAAAAACTGTATAAAGTGAACCAAGAAGAAAAAATTCTTTAACAATTTAAAACCTAAGACTTAGCGTGCATTTGAATTTAAAAAACATGTTTCAGATTTAGCTTTATTGAGAATAATATTTTTAAAAAATTCAACTATATAATCTATCGCGTCGAAAATATTTTTAGATGATCCGTAGATGGTGCCATCGTCTAGATACCATATATTTATGTCTAAGTTAAAGAGTTTTTAAAGAATAAATTAGGTTATATATGCCCAAGCTAAATATGAATGGCATGGTCTCTTTGTTGTATACCCTCATCAGATCGTATTTTATAATCCCAAATTTGAGATTGATTTTATGCTAATAACTAAATTTTTATTTTTTATTACATATTCCTTAAAATCTTTACAAGTCGATTTAAAATTATGTTTGTTCAATAATTCCGCTTCTAAAGCTGTTAAAGATAATCGATTGCAATCTTTTGTCCAGAAATTTTTTAATAGACTAAATATACGCTCTGAATTAGTATTTGAATGGGGTAATGAGGAAATAGTATTACATATTTTTTCAAAATTTGGTTTAATATTTTTTGAAAAATGTATGCATCTATTTTCTTGGGCTAAATTTGATACATTATTTTGTTTGATGAATTAAAGCAAGGAATATCTAAAAATTGAATATATATTTTATATTAAAATTTATTTAACTTCTTCGAATTTAAATTAATTATCAAGTGCTATAATACTTGGATTAATGAAAACATCTCCAGTGAAATTAAATCTTCTTAACCAATTTATTTAACGCCTCTATATCAATAATTAGCCTTAAATAAGCCTCCGCTAATTCGTTTTCAAAAAATAATTTTAATATTTAATTGGGATAACAAATAGGATTTAAAAGCTATTTTTTATAAAGTCTTTCGAGAATAGATAATAATGATAGCCATCTTGTTAGATCGCGTTGCAAAAGTTCTGATCATTTAATATCTTGAGAATCCATAGTTTTCCTTAAAATGGATACCCTATGTTCTAATCTGCTGAATTTGGGGTTACATTAGAGTGCCTCTTTCTTCATGCACTGTGAAATGTATAACATAGGCAACCAATAGGGCTGATTTATTTATTTAAAATGGATGATCATGGCATTATTACACTTATCCTTTTCCGAAATTTACACCCGCGTTATCAGCACAAAATACTGCTTCATAAGGTTAGAATTTTCAATCTGCACAAGTCTCCGAGTTTGATAAGAAAAAACTTAGAAGTTTACTTGAGACACCTCATTATTAAAATAGCGTAGCATTACCTTGAATTCATGGTGGCGTGATTGCGACTGCGATTTAACAGCTGATCGATTTTTAAAATCTGCTTATGAGATCAATTTTTATTAATTAATATTAATTTTATCTTTAATTCAATTCATAATAATAATCTAAGAAATATTGATTTTAATAAAGAAAAATTGATCTCATAAACAGATTTAAATAAACTAAATCACAATCTCGCCACTAGGAATTCAAGGTTGTTGGGAATATTTTGGTATTTCCACTATTTGACACTTGTTAAAAGATTCTTTTTATATAAATCTAAGTTTAAACCTTAGGTCTTTAAAACCTAAAATAAATTAAAAGGTTTTGAATAATAATTCTTAGCTGCTTCAAAGTTATCCTTTTATAGATGATGTATCTGTATTTAGATACAGCAATTAAGAACGTATCTAGATATAAACACAATTAGTAATAAATCTATACAATTTCACAAATGTATCTGTAAATAGATAACATCTTTTTATCATACCTACATATACAGGGTTCGCTGTTGTTCTCAAAAAAAACTTACAAATTCTTCTTTAAAGCGAATATTTATTTAATAATTATCTTTACATTAAACTATAATTTATTCATTAGAAGACAGGGGAATATCTAGAATTATTTTAAAAAAATTCTAAATAAAATTTGCTAAAAATAACTTTTTGCATCAATGGTATTATTTATAGTAATTAATGGGCGTCATTGCTAAGCAAGGATTTATATTTTCCTTTGTGCGAACAAATTGAGCGATTGCAATACGTTTTTTAACGTACATGATAAAAATATCCTTCAAAATCTTGAACTGATATCTATAGATTTTAATGGGGGAAAATAATAATATTTAATGAATATTTACTATAAACTTTATATTTTTATAAGTTTAAATTTTATGCATATATATTTTATTATTATATTAGTCTTAATATTTTTTAATAATATTTATTTAAATTACATGTTCGTATGAATAAAAATTTTAATCAAATGTATCTTAAAAGTATCTAAATTACCTTTAAGATATATTTTATATTTAGATATTTTATAGTCAATACAATAATTCTTATCTATATATAGTATAGTATTTTTTAATTATATAATTTAACTTCTAATACAGTGGCGTAGCTAGGAATTTTCCTTAGAGGGGGTCCATACATCCAAACCCCCTTTAACGGGCCTTCGGCCCTTTTGCCCGGCCTTCGGCCAGGTTTATCTTATAAATCATAACCATATCTTCGATAATATATAATAAATATATTTTTAAATGCATCAATAATTTGTTTTATAATTTAGTAGATCTCAATAACTTTATAATAATACTATCCAGAATAATTTCAATAGTAATATAATATCCTTCCACAAACATCAAAACCAGAAAATATAAATATTATTGGTATTTATTTGATATAAAGTCACCACTTATAAGTCTTTTGAACGTATAATCTAAAAATAAATTTTTGCTCTGGGAGGGGTCCAAACCCGAAAATATGAAATTAGTTTACCTCAATAATATAATATAAAATATAGGAAAGTTATAATAATGTATGACAAATATAATATTCAAATAGCGTTGAATATAACCTTATTAAATATAACATGATAGTTTAACAACTTTACTATTTGATGCACCCATTAATATAGAAAAAGAATGCTTTTAAACCCTCTAAGATGTATTTCTTAGTTTAAGAAGACCTTTAACATTATTTTAGAGGCTTTTATTTACATACAATTAAGTTTTTGGTTATATTTGAATCAGGAAAGAGATTAGCTAATAAGTTTGCAATGCAATCTGTAGATACATCGTGTCATAGATGAATATCTTTTCAGCTTGCAATATTATCATCACATAATTGTTTATATTTAATATTCCTTATTCTTATGACATGTTTTTTGCTTTGTTGAATATTTATCTACATCATGGACGGACTCATTTATGAATGATATTTAATATTTCATAGATATTAAACAAATTGCATTTTGTAATGTATTTAAATAAATTGATTTTTTATATTCGCTTAAAGATACAATTTATTTACAATTTATAAAAATAGAAAAACATATATATATAGCTGATAATATTATATTAAATCACTTTACAATAAATGAATCAAATCATTTCACATTTGAACTATATTTTTTTATCTTCGCTAATCCATGAATAAACCTGACTCCAGGTATTTATATAATGCTATTTAAATTTTATTTTCAGCCTGCACTTTTCTTTCATTCTCTAATTTATATATAATTAAATTAAAGGAATAAAATTGAAAATAAATGAAATTAAATTAAATATCCAACTAGGAGAAAATTTTATTAATTATTTAAAAATTATTAAGCTATATAATTCTAAAAAATTTTATAAATACGGAATTGCTTCTAAACATCATTTGATATAGATTGAACTTAAAAATTTCATCAGTAAATAATTATTATATGATTTATCATAATAATTCGTTTTAAAACTAAAAGATATTAAATATAATTATATTAAATTTGAAAGTTTAGGAAATTAAAAATATGCATTTTATTTTTTTTAGGGATCCTTTTTCTTTTTTTTTATAAAAATATAGATAATAAAATACACAAGAACAAGATCCCTTTATAAATGTAAAATTAAAAAAACAGTCTATGTATCTGAAAAAAATTGGGAGTAAACGTAATTTTCTTTTATAAAAAATCGGGAGGTGGAAACCCTGATTCAATCAATCCCAGGTGAAATAGTTTTTTCAAAAACTTTCCTTTTCCAAAATTAAATAATAAATGTATCATAATTATAATTAATTGATAATTATGATATTATATATAAATTTCATGTTTATTGTTACATTCATTATTTCAAAAAAAAGGAGCTCGCTAAAAAAAAAAAAAATTGAGAAAAAAGTAGCGGGCTACTTTAACAACTAGTGTTACTATTCTATTTAGCAATCTATTAAACAAATTCATGTATATTTATTTTATTAAATTTTTTTAATTAATAAATTTTATCTTAATATACTTTTATCAAATGAAAATTGTTTTCTTTGCTGTTTATCACCTATTATGGAAGTCATCTCTTTCAGCATTTTGTTTCACTCCCTTCTCTTTAAACATCCTTTTTATGAATCATATTAACCGTTAAAATTCTTTTCTATATGGTGTTTATTTCGTGACGAACAATTTATCTATATTTACGATTACTTCTTTTACCATTCATTTATGACTATTTTCTGAGATTATTTACGATCCCAACGGATTATGACTTATATTTCTAAATCATACGCTCCAACAATTTACCTTTTCTTTGACCAAATAATTTTAGTATATTCACAATAAAATAAAATCTATGCTATTTGAAGCTACCTTTATTCTTATTTCTCAGATTATGATTAAATTATTTTTATCTCACAATTTTTCCTTGAAAATGATAATTTTATTTTTCAAATTATTTTATAATTAATGGAATAAATGAAAATAAAACATGTTAGTATTTGGTCTGACAAGCCAGGTCATACAGAATATAATAACAGCTGGTTCTTCAAAAAAAAAATATATATTCAAGGCAATTAATAAAATTTAATCTACTTAAATCCTATATATCACATTTTTAAATAAGGAGACCATATCATATCGAATATCTTTAATGTTACCTAAATATTTGATTCTTTTGTTTTGTGGTGGATTCTACATCAATGTCCAATCAATAGGATATAGCATTTTGAACGTTTGCACTATTGATCGTCAGCCCCCTACACAATGTGAAAGATATTCAGAATATACAAAGTATAAGTTTAATTAATATAATTCCTTTGCTATAATAATGATTTATATTTTTAAGTTTTTGGCAAAGATGGTTGGTAGATAATAAATACTCAAGATATTTCTCGAATGTAATGGCTTGCAACAAGTTTATATGCATAATTTTAAAAATAAATATATTTTTTTTAATAAAAATATAGATATGTCGATAGTAATTTACACGTGGATCTTAATAACTTCAAATGTTTCATGCATCCTAGTCTAGGATTATTATATGTTGTTCATATTCCGAAAGTGTTAGAGCAAAATTTACAATGGACAATGTGCCAGTTAAGTATAGGATTTTTTTTCTCCTCTTCTTTTATTCGTCTTTCACATTATGTTTACAATGACACTGACTCTTTTGAATTTGAAAGAACACTTTTAGCATTTCCCTCTGAGTTAATAATTAGGATATTTTTATAAATTGATAAAAATAATGATGAATCTAGTTCCAATTATATTTATAAATTCGTCGATATAATATGAAATTTTAAATTTATAAATTTAGTAATCAGGAAATAGGCATAGAATGTTACAATTTTGTTGATCGAAAATATGGTGCAGTTCAAAGAGATTTTTGTGATAATGAAAATGTCCTAGTTTTTAAGCCACCACATTCCTTTTATAAAATTCCGTTACATATATCTGATTGCATATGCGTAAGTTTAATATTTACAATATTTTTAAATATTTTTTTTACAGAGAACTCGATAGAAAAAATGGATACAAATAAATTAATATAGAATTTCTCTATTGCTTTATATTGAGTTTTTACAGCATTTTAAAATAAAAGCTCTAAAATGTATATTTTTTACTATTAAAACAAACCAAGTCGTTTAATAATATCAAATTTATTTTGTATATGATTAGGGAATATTAAAAACTAACTAAAGTATTTTATTTATTTAATATATTTAAGACTAATATATTAAATATTATAATAGGTTGTCTAATTATAATATATTAAAGTGATAATGTAACGTGCTGCACTTGTTCTCTTTTACTCCGTTAACACAGTTGTAGCATAACCCATTTTTTTTAAAAAAATTAAATAAAAATACACACTTAAAGATAAGATAGAATATAAATGGAATGATAAATGATAGAGGTAGTCCAGTGCTATCATAAATAAATATTAATGGTGTTTAGGTCGAATTTTTTAAAAAAAACCTACAAATTTAATTTTTATAATAGGGTATTTTTCTTTTCTAACTAATTAGAATAACACGTCGGAATTATAAATAATAATATATTATCATGGAATAGCTTGCAAAGTGTCCTGTCTTGTTTTAATTTAATTATTTATTTTAATATGTTTTTTTTACAGCATATGTATATGTCGTATTGGAATATGGAATTCATTGGATTTTAGTATCAATTTGAAATCATTTATTAAGAGAGATTTTTAAATCTGAAAATTTTAATTTGAACAAAAATATATAGAGTACCAAACACTGTAAATTTTAGATAATTTTGCCTTGAGCTGTTTAAGCCATACAAATTTAAAACAAATATACGAAGGTTTATGGCAAAAATAATATATTATAAAGTAGGTATTCTATATCTATCAGGGTCGTAGCCAGGAATTTCCTGCTGGGGGGGGGGGGCAACTATATACTTAAGAGGGCCAATATTTGTTTGAAATAAAACAAATATGCACGCTTAATAATTTTTCGTTAACTTTATACACGACGATTTTTATTTTTAAATTTTGACATAAATAAATTAAAAGCAAAATTCTATATATTATTTCTTCCATAAGCCATTAATACTAAATTTTGTTTACGTCGATATTTCATCAATTTTCTAACGCTCGATAGAACTCTCTTTAGTGTAGAGAATGAGGCCTCACAAAAAGCCGTTTATTCATGATGATGGCCTGCTGAGCAGGGTTGCCATGTTTTCCCCCATCAGTGGGAGATTCCCGCAATTTTTTAGTTTACACGCAGACATCTCTCTCCCGTAAAAATACCGCAATTGAAAATCTCCCGCAAAAATCTAACGCAATTTTTTAATTTATCCCGCAATTTTTTTTTTATTTTAACGTTTTTAATATATAAATAATAATTTTGAGAGACATTAATTGATTATTTTTATATTTTAAAATAAATTTTAAATATTTATTCGAATAACATGTCTAGTTTGTAAATTTCTTTCTATCCTGTTTTATTTTTATCCAATAATAAATCAACATCATTTCATTCATATAAGTCAGTACAGGGGAGTATATCAACATCGATTGCAATGCAAAAATATTCTCAAAAATAATAAATAATACAGACGCAACTACATTTACGGAAATCTACATCTATCATGTATCAACATTCACAGAGCTGTATCATCACAATGTGGGTCGAATCTTCATGATATTTAACCACTCCAATATAAGTGCAAACCTTACTTGTGGCAGAACAAAAATGAGCAAGGCTATCACAAGTGTTTTAGTACCTGAATCCTAGAGGAATTCTAGACGATTTGAAAGATGAGCATCCATATACAATTCTAACAGAAGCATCTAATAAGGGAAATATTAAAATATTTCAACTATTTCAACAATAATAAGAACATTTTAAAACTGTTAAAAAATTTTCCTCGGATAGTGAAAAATCCAACGATGTATCTAGCCATATAAAGGTAAATATAGCTGATTCAGGGTTATCAATGTAAATTTTGGCCAAAACCAAAGTTACCGAATTGAGGCAGCACAATAATGAATTAATACCAATTGGCTGTATATGCCATATATTACATAATCCTTGGTAGAAGGCAATGAATGTACTATCAGTGGATGTCGAAATAATTGTGATGAAATGTTTTAACGAATTTAGTTCATCAACTAAAAGAGTAAATGAATTAAAAGAGTTGGTGAAGTGGTATGACTTGGAATGGTGTGAGTTGTTGCGATATGTACTTATCAGGTGGTTATCATTAATACCTGCCATAGATAGAATTTTAAAATTTTACGAACCCTTAAATATTTCTTAAATAAAAATTTTAAAAGCTGTCCTAAAATTTTGGGAAATTTTTTTGAAGATGAAATGGCAGAAGCTTATATGGGATAAGTTTCCCATGTAGGAAATCTACTTCATGTAGTTAATATTCAGTTGCAATCAGAATATTCTTTATAAAAAAAGATTTACAAAATCATGCTACAGCTCTGTTCATCTCTACAGTTAAAAATTGATAATAAATTTTATGGCGTTATTGCTAAAAATATTATATTAAAATGTTCAAATAATACTCTAATTAATACATTTTTAAATGAAGCAGATATTTTTATTAAGACAATTTTATAATATTTACAATCAAAATTTGATTTTAATAACTCTATTTACAAATGTATAAATATTATGACCTTGGAACAGAAACCATCAATTGATGGTATTTATAATTTAATAAATATATTGAAAATACCGAAAGACATTGATGTCTTGTTTGAGAAGATTGTAATTCTCTCTATTTTTTATGATTCGCCAAAATACTTAAAGTTAGATGGTCTAAAAGCAGAGAAGAAATGGGTAGAATCTTTTCGACATAACGATAAATCCACATGTTTGGGAAAAATATGCGAGTATATCTTCTCCCTCATTCTAATGCCTTATCCGAGCGCATTTTTAGCCTGATGAGGACTGCCTGGAAAAAGGAGAGAAATCGGATTACTTTAACAACATTAGAGGCCGAGCTAATGGTTAAACAAATATATAATATGTCATGCCAGGAATTTTAAATATCTCAATAACTACGGTAAATATTTAGTTCTATTATTTAAATTTCAAATAAAATATTAAGTTTTAGCAATGGCGCCATAAAATTTATTGTAAATTTTTAACTGTAAAGATGAACACATCTGCAGCATAATTTTGTGAATCTTTGCTAAGATTCTTCTGATTGCAACTACACATTAAAAGCATGTAGTAGATTTCCTACATGTGAAATCATTCCTAAATATACCTCTGCCATTCATTATTGAAAAAATTTTTAAAATGTTAGGACAGCTTTTATAATTTTTATTTAAGAAATATTTTTTTAAAGGTTTATAAAATTTTAAAATTCTATCGATAGCGGGTATTAGGAACATATCGCAACCAAAATTGTGCTGACTCAATTCCGTAAATACACTCTGTTTTTACCAAATTCACTGAGGCATTATATCAGAAAGCTGACATGCAATTTATTGATAATCTCGAATCTGCTATATTTACCATTATGATTCGCTATGTCTTTGGATTTTTCACCATTTGATGGAAAAAATTTTAATAGTTTTATTGAAACGACCATAATTTTGTTGGAATAGCGGCGGATCAAGGGAAATATTTTAATATTTCTCTTATTAGATGCATCTATTTGAATTGCATATATATGTCCATCTTTCAAATCGTCAAGAATTGACCCTGGATTTAGGTCCTAAAACATTGATGATAGCCTTGCTCATTTTTGTTCTACAAATATAGTTTTCAATATTAGAGTCGTTAAATATTATGGGAAAAAGATTCAACCAACATTGTGATGATAAGTATCTCTGTGAATGTTGTACTGCAAGATAAGTGATTACAATTGCCGCAACTGTAATTGCATCTGTATTATTTCCTATTTTTGGAGTACCTTATTATCTATTTAAACGTGATACGTGATAATTAAGCGCCTATCCCTATAATTTTATACACACACACGCACGGTAGATTTTCAATTGCGGTCGTTTTGCGGGACATTGGCATTAAATATATTTTTAATTGTAAAATTAAAATCGTTTTTTTTATAAAATTTTATCTTGTTTACATCATTCTTTTATATTTAAAAAAGATCTGGTTTTTTTATAAATTAATATATTTTAATAAATCAAGATGTTATTTTATTTTGAAAAATAGTTACCGACTTTGTATTTATATAAACTAATTATGCGGATAATTAAGTCATTCAAAATCCCGGCCGAAGGTCGGAACTAGAGGTCTGCATTGGGCGGGGTTTCGGCCCGCCCGCCCACGCCCGCCGATAAAAATTTTTTTTGAGAATTGGCAAGCGGGAGGGTGGGTTAAAAAATTTAAAACTATGGGCGGGCTGGGCGGGCGGGTTAAGAAATTTAAACAATGGGCGGTGGGTTAAGGAAATTTAATTTTTGTTCAAAAACAAACTAAAAAAAATAATTGTTTAAATGATCTATAACAATATTTCTTTTTTTATTGTACCAATCGTTTTTTTTAAGTGAAGAACATTTACCCAACTATACTATGTAATAAACACAACAATAAAACTTAGAATAAATAAACATTTTTGTCTATTAAAAATTTCCTTTTATGGGAATGTAATAAAACTTTTCTCTTAAAAATTCCTTTTTTTGGGTTTGCAATCTGCATTGTATTATTTTATATTAGTAATATTGTTTATCTTTATAATTGCCCTTCATTTTCATTTTTATTTTATTATATAATTCATAAATTTTATTTTTTATAACATAATTTTTAATAAAAAAATATATTTTCACTTAATTTTTATTTTAAAATTTTATTATGAATAAAGAAAATATATCTAAAAAAATAAAAAAATAATTTATATAAATTAAAAGAAAATTCAAAAAAATTTTCGAGAATGGGCAGACGGGCGGGCGGGTAAGGAATTTTAGACACATGGGCGGGTCGGGTGGGTATATACTTTTTTAAAAACTATGGGCGGGCTGGGCGGGCGTGTTAAATTTTTTTTAAAACATTGATGCAGACTTCTAGTCGGAACTATTTAGCAATTTTTCTATTTCTACCGCAATTTTCATATTTCTCCCGCATAATACTAAATTTCTCCCGCAATTTGAAAATTTTGACCTGGCAACCCTACTGCTGAGTAGCATTTATACAATTCTTTAAATGCAAGATTATATTTTATACATAACATATACGATATTTTCAAAATAATGTTTATTTAACAACTGCAAGCTAATCATCCTTTCCCTATTTTCATTTCATGATGTAACGTGTCCATATTTAAGTTTTGATACTAATGGGGTTATTTTATCTGCTATGAAATAATTAGGGCCAAGAGGGGAAAACCTAATAAAACATGTTACAAGATTATAATCATCTTTTGTAAATCTAACTAAAAATATGATCCATAAAGTAATCAATAATTTTATAATAATTCCTTTTTAAAGAACTCCAATTGAAGTCTTTTTCGCAATCAAATTGCAATTTGGGTTGACTAAAAAATCTTGAATATTTATTTTCGAGGATGAGATTAAATTTTGTTATAAGTTTCTCAGCCTTAATTCTTATCAAATTTTTAATATTTAAATATATTTGAAAAGAAAGAAGGCGGATTTACCTGCGAGTAAGTAAAAATATATTTTATTATTATTAACTGTTTCTTTTCTTTTTTTACACATGCTATATATATATATACTATATAAAATTATAATATATATGATTAAACAAAAAAACAAAAAGTAAGGTTACGAAAAATAAAAAGTAATATAAGTTGAATTTGAATTCATAACAAAAATAAAAATATTATTTGAATAAATATAATGAATGTACGTTATATAAATTAAAACATATTACTATTCAATAACCAATATTTTAATTTATTAATTCCTATAATGTAAAATTCTCCTTCTTCTACAAGCCTTCCCATAATTTCATCTAAGAAGTCATAGAGAGTTTGTTGTTCAAGTGGTTTATCGTTTTGGTTGTCAATGTTACATAAGTCACTAATCGTTGGCTTGTCCAAATCGTTGGTTTGTTCGTTTTTGCACGTTTTTGTTTAAATCGTGAACTTGATATCCATATCGAATGTTGTCCTTACAAATCGTGACTTCATATAGCTTGCTTGTAGTGCTCAGTTGTTATTATTATCATTTTCAAAATCCTTATTATCAGTAAGTTACGAATAATAAGAAATAATAGTTCATCAAAATATAAAAATAAGTGAAGAATGGTAAATCAATAAGATTGTTATATAATATTTTTAGCGTTTTAATTTTTCGCATTTTTATGACTTTTATTTTTTCGCGTTTTAGTGTTTAATTAATTTTTGCGTTTTAGTATTTAATTTATTTTTATTTATTTTCAATCTTCGAGGTTAAAATATGCAAATAAAATATTATTCACATTTCCCTCTCTTTAAATAAAAAATTTGAATTTCACATCCTAGTTTTAATTCAAAAAGTGTTATTTTTAATAAAAATTCTTCATAAGATTTTTAGAAAATGATCTCATCACATCATTTAAATATTTATCTAAAATGAAGATGTAACATAAACAGTTGTCTTGAAAAGCTTTATTTAAAAAACATTTTTATCATATTAAGTATTACTTATAAGGGTTATTTAAATCAATCATGTGATTTAAACCTTTTAATTCATATGTTTTAATTACATTTTAATATATTTAAAATTAAAGTTTTATCTTTTTGTTTAGGATATTTAATGGTTTATTTTTAATTATATCTAAGAATTCATCTTTAGGTTTAGTTAATTTACAACAATTGGTCATCATTCAAGAAATCAAAAAATATCAATATTTCACTAAGAAATTAAGTAAATAATTTTTTTTAAGGCTTTTTATGTGTTCAAATATATCCATTATGATTTTACATTTTAGTTATTTTAATGATTTGTAACATGCCTTTGTCCCGGCATAAAATCTTAATTTATAATAACTTTTCTTCTTACGTGTATTAGAATAATAAGTAATCATCATTGGTCTCACAATATAGAATTCATAACCTATCGTTCCACTTCCATATTGGTTCTTTCTAGGTTGTCACATTAGATTAGGTGTTGGTCATCATCTAGTAGTCCACCACCCAGAGCCAGGACACCATGAAGAAAGAAGCTTTTTGCATAAAAGAACGTGCTAAGGTTTGATTCTTGGTCATCTCAGTAGATTAGGCATTGGTCATATCAATAGATTAGGTAGTCATCTCAATAGATTAGTCAGTCATATCAATAGATAAGGTAGTCATCTCAATAGGTTAAGCAGTCATATCAATAGATTAGGTAGTCATCTCAATAGGTAGTCATCTCAATAGATTAAGCAGTCATATCAATAGGTTAGGTAGTCATCTCATTCTAGTCCACCACCCAGAGCCAGGGCACCATGAAAAGAAAGAAGGATGGTAAAACGTGCGAGTACGTAAAAATATATTTTATTATTATTAACTGTTTCTTTTCTTTTTTTACACATGCTATATATACACTATATAAAATTATAATCTATATTATAATTTTCCGATGTCCTCACTACGTCATCGTGACGTCATGTCATCGGTACGTACTTATTTTTAATTTTTTATTGATTTGATTTTATTTTTTTTACAGAAAATATTTTTATAGAACATTCTCTTATTTATCAAGTATAATATTTCTCAAAATTATATTGGTATTTTTTAATGTTAAATGTTTGTCTTATGTTATTATTTTTATAAAGTAATATATTTTACCTGTAGAATAATTGGTAAATTAGAGATTTCCTCTTCATTAATTATAAATTTAATATCTCTGGGCTTGGTTTCAAAATTATTAGGGAAGGTGGGTTAGAGAAATTCTTTTTAAATATTAAGATCTTGGATGCTTTTTTCTTGAACCTATATTGGGATTTTTTAATGTTAAATGTTAGTGGATGCTTGGATATTTTTTCCATGTTAAATGTTAGTCTTATGTTATTCTTTTTATAAAGTAATATATTTTACCTGTTGACTAATTGGTAAATCAGATATTTCCTCTTCATTAATTATAAATTTAATATCTCTGGGCTTGATTTCAAAATTATTAGGGAAGGTGGGCTTGAGAAAATCTTTTTAAATATTAAGATCTTGGATTCTTGGATATTTTATCCAGTTTAATCTATATTGGGATTTTTATTATTAAATGTTCGTCTTGGATGCTTGGATATTTTTTCCAGATATTGTAGGGTATAACCTATATTAGGATTTTTTAATGTTAAATGTTAGTCTTATGTTATAAATTTAATATCTCTGGGCTTGATTTCAAAATTATTAGGGAAGGTGGGCTTGAGAAAATCTTTTTAAATATTAAGATCTTGGATGCTTGGATATTTTATCCAGATATTGTAGGCTTGAACCTATATTGGGATTTTTAATGTTAAAGATTAGTCTTGGGTGCTTTTGGATATTTTTCCCAGATATTGTAGGCTTGAACCTATATTGGGATTTTTTAATGTTAAATGTTAGTCTTATTTAATATCTCTGGGCTTGGTTTCAAAATTATTAGGGAAGGTGGGTTAGAGAAATTCTTTTTAAATATTAAGATCTTGGATGCTTTTTTCTTGAACCTATATTGGGAATTTCAAAATTATTAGGGAAGGTGGGCTTGAGAAAATCTTTTTAAATATTTAGATCTTGGATGCTTGGATATTTTATCCAGATATTGTAGGATTGAACCTATATTGGGATTTTTTAATGTTAAAGTTTAGTCTTGGATGATTGGATATTTTTTCCAGATATTGTAGGCTTGAACCTATATTGGGATTTTTTAATGTTAAATGTTAGTCTTATGTATAAATTTAATATCTCTGGGCTTGGTTTCAAAATTATTAGGGAAGGTGGGCTTGAGAAAATCTTTTTAAATATTAAGATCTTGGATGCTTGGATATTTTATCCAGATATTGTAGGCTTGAACCTATATTAGGATTTTTTAATGTTAAAGGTTATGCTTGGATATTTTTTCCAGATATTGCAGGCTTGAACCTATATTGGGATTTTTTAATGTTAAATGTTAGTCTTATGTTATTATTTATAAAGTAATATATTTTACCCCTAGACTAATTGGTAAATCGGATATTTCCTCTTCATTTATTATAAATTTAATATCTCTGGGCTTGGTTTCAAAATTATTAGGGATTGAGGTGGGCTTGAGCAAATCTTTTTAAATATTAAGATATTGGATGCTTGGATGTTTTTTCCAGGTTTGAACTTATATTGAGATTTTTTATTATTAAATGTTAGTCTTATGTTAATATTTTTATAAAGATATATATTTTAACTCAAAGAATAGTTTTCAGTAACATACAAAATGTAAACTGATTATGCATTGACAACATATGTATCCTTACTAAAGATATCATACTTTCATTATTTTAACAACAGTCTTAAATATGGGAAATATCTAAATTTAAAAAATACTAAAATTCTCTTTTCCTTTCTTTCCCTTTTAATTTCTTTTATTACATTCCCCTTTCTCATCATTTCCCTTTCCTATCTTCACTTTAATTTTCTAGGTGGTGATTTATCCGTCATTAATAAAAGAAAAAGATGGCGCTTCTGATAATGTCCCCACTATTTCTAAGGAGTTGAACCTAATATTTACTCCTCTTCAGGTTCATTGAATTTATATTCTTCATATTATTCTTCTGTTTTTATTTTAGATAACAAACCCTTCTTTATTTCCTCCTTATTCTTTAAATTATTCTTTGTTTTTATTTTTGATAACAAGCCCTGTCTTACACTCATTTAATGATTGTACAGGTGGTATATTGACTCCTCATCAGGTTCAATGCATTTATTTTTTTTATTTATTCTTTTGTTTTTATTTTAGGTAACAAACCATGTCCTAACCTCAGTTAATGATTGTACAGGTGGTGATTTATCCGTCATTAATAAAAGAAAAAGATGGCAGATCAAAAAAAGAAACGCACTAGGGATAGCGAGGCCCTACAAAATCTACTAACAACTCAAAATAAAGATAGCCTTATATATATATTTTTTTATACTCTTTTATATTATAGAATACATCTATTTTAGCTTCTGATAATGTCCCCACTATTTCGGGAGTTGGACCTAATATTGACTCCTCTTCAGGTTCATTGAATTTATATTCTTTATATTATTCTTCTGTTTTTATTTTAGATAACAAACCCTTCTTTATTTCCTCCTTATAATCGTTTAAATATTGATATATCTACCATTAATAATCAACAAATACAAAATAAATGTTCAGAAAAACATGATAGTCTTGACAAGTCCCCAACTAGACAAATTTTATTTTTTGATGATAGCCTCCCAACTACTAGATATATGCATATATTGACCCCCTTACAGGTTCAGTACAGTATTTTAATGTTCGTTTTATTTCAATAATAATGTTTTATATTTATGCCTGATTTCCTTATTTTTTTTAGGTTAACCCAAACTTAATCCCTCACATAGCTACAAAACATGATATTTCTATTAAAGATAAGCACAGAAATAAATGGCGACTCCACAAACGCCTTACTCGTTCTAGAATTACAGGTATGCAGGATAATAAGGACCTACGCCTGATATTAACTTCCTTGCAGGTTTTTAATGTTTTATATATATAGGTTTATTTTATAATCACCCAGATACCGTCAACTGATATTTCTATAACCACTACCACATTCCCTATGGCACCTCTACCATGTATATTTCGACATATATTTGATGACCACCACTCACCTATATTAGATATCAGAAATATGCCAGAAATATGCGCCTTCTGCAATGCTAAAATGTGGAATGGAGAAAAATTATCAAAAAGCTCATGTAGAAATATTCAGTTTTCTACATGTTGTTTGAATGGGAAGGTATTTTATCTAAAATTTCCCAATTACCACCAAATTTATTACGTTTATTTACCGGGAATCATTGTTCATCATCCCACTTTTTAACAAACATAAGAGCTTATAATTCCGCACTGTCATTCCCTTCACTAGGAGTTAATATAAATAAAAATTTATCCAATTCGCGATCAGGTAATTATACCTTTCAAATTAATGGACAGGTTCATCATCGCATTGGTTCACTCCTATCAACATTAGGGGAAACACCTAAATTTGCCCAATTATATATACATGATAGTATAAATGAGATAGAAAACAGACATAGCCAGGTTCCGTTTTTAGATCGTTGTCTTTTAATGGAATTGCAGGATATTGTTCACACCTACAACCCCTTTGCTTCTCAATTTTTGAGAGTATCTTCTATGCTACTGGCGTTCCTAACATATCCTTAAACTTAAAATCTACTCCAAGTTTTGACGTACGTTATCGCAATAAACCTACCCCATCTGAAATAGCAATATTATTACCTGGTTATGGCAGTGATCATATAGCCCATAGAGATATTATCTTAAAAACTCTATGTGGTCCTTTAAGACGTATTAACGAGCTCCATTCCTAATACGATCCCTTACAATATGTTCTTCTATTTCCCAGAGGCGATATTGGATACCACCCATCCATTCATTATAGAACTCAACTAATAAATGTTACCTGCAGAGAGTACTATGCCTATCGCTTTATGGTCAGGCAGGATGATGAGAATGTTATTTTAAGATCCAAACGTCTTTTTCACCAATTTATCGTCGACAGTTATGCCAAACAGGAAACGCTTCGTTTAAATTTTATACGTAATAATCAATCCAAATTACGCGCCGAACTCTATCAAGGCATACATGATTCTATTTTAGAGGGGGATACCAAAACTGACACTTTGGCAGAAATATCATTTTGCGTTCTTCTTTTACCAGTAGCCCAGGGCCTCAGCTTTATCAGGACGCAATGGGTGTTGTACACTGCTTTGGTAATCCGTCATTATTCATTACTTTCACCTACAACCCTAAATGGGATGATATTATACATTAATTTTTCCTTCTGCAGACGACTGAAAGGATTTGCTCTTAATTTTACCAGACACACAGAGTAATAATTATTCCTCATCATTTTTTAAAAAAATTACCTAAATTTATATGGCAAGAAAAACATATTTCTTAAAAAATATATAAATAAATTGCATATAAGTTTCATTAGTATTGAATGGCATTTTTGTAATTTAAGATAGCATTTTTTTGTACTTAACAAAAGATATAGATAGCCCTTATCTAATTTTTTGATAAAAGGAGTTAACCCACTAATTGGTAAATCCGAGATTTCCCCTTCTTGTGTTTATAAAATATTTAGAAATTTAACTATCTCCGGGTTTGGGAAAAAGTTTTGAAACTTAATATGGGATGGACTGGGCTTGAAAAATATTCCTCAAGATTAATATTTGCTTGCACCTGACTTGGGAATATCTTATACAAATTATTATGGGCCGGGCTAGGAAAAAATTTTCAAAATTATTATGGGTTGAGCTAGGCTTGAGAATTTTTTTTATAAATTATAAGGTCTTGAACGCTTGGAAATTTTTTCCGAATATTATGAGCTTGGACCTGGCTTGAAATTTTTTAATGTTAAATGTTACTAATGGTTTGGACTCAATGACATTGCTTGGACTTGACATAAATGGGGAGGGGGGGGGGTTTAAAAATTATATAAATTGGATATGATTTTTAAATAAAAGTTAACATCTTTCTTAAAAAAACGAATAAAATTCTCATTCTCCGTCATTTTTGACGGGCTATCTACTAGTATATATGATTAAACAAAAAAACAAAAAGTAAGGTTACGAAAAATAAAAAGTAATATAAGTTGAATTTGAATTCATAACAAAAATAAAAATATTATTTGAATAAATATAATGAATGTACGTTATATAAATTAAAATATATTACTATTCAATAACCAATATTTTAATTTATTAATTCCTATAATGTAACAATATTAATTGTAGAATGAAATTTTTATCATCCACTGCCTACTGACTGAATACACTTATTTAGTGGATCTATTGTTATTAATATTTCACAAATCATAATAGCTAATATAATATAATTTATAATAACGCATTGAGAAAATAGACTAGAGGCTTCAACTGAATCATGAGTGGAAATATTTTAGTTAATAATTCTATTAAAAGTAAAATAATACTTCCTCAATAGCCTCAAAATTCTTATAAATAATACGAGATGTTTCTAAATGACGAGTCCCCCCTCTGGTGTAAAATTCTTTAAGAGTATGGCCTATACATTTACAGTATACGTTAAAACGCCCAAAAAAATGCAATGCATTAGATAAATTTAAAAGAGAGAAATGATAACTATAAAGACCTTCCAAAAATGTAACAATCAATATCAAATCGCCATATAGTTTATTTGGAATAATAAATTACAGAAAATCCAACGGAATACTGTTAATAGTGTTGTTTATTCAAATTTGTAAAATAATTAATTGAGTATTAATTTAAATGTTTTGTTACATATTGTGTTGTTTATTCAAATTTGTAAATAATTTATTGAGTATTAATAATGTTTTGTTACATATACCAGTATATATACCAGTCGATGATATACATATTATTATTATTATTATTTTATTTTTTAAAGTAGAAATAAAATTTATTTAAAACAAAATACAACTTAATTATTTCTTGTTTCTTTTATGGCGCCCCGTTACGTTTTTGTAAAAAAAAAGAAGAAAATATATAAAATTTGCCTAAAATTAAAAAAAAAAAGTAAAAATTAAATTAAATTCGAAATTGTGGTGACTACCTATTGTGACGATTGCTTAATCCATTGAGATGACTCTATTTATATGACTACCTATTGTGGTGACTACCTATTGTGACGATTGCTTAATCCATTGAGATGACTCTATTTATATGACTACCTATTGTGGTGACTACCTATTGTGACGATTGCTTAATCCATTGAGATGACTCTATTTATATGACTACCTATTGTGATGATTGCTTAATCCATTGAGATGACTCTATTTATATGACTACCTATTGTGTTGATTGCTTAATCTATGGAGATGACTAGAATTAAACCTTAGCACTTTCATGCAAAAAGCTTCTTTCTTCATGGTGTTTTGGCTCTGGATGTTGGACTGGAATATGATAACCAGCACCTAACCTAATGTGACAACCTAGGAAGAACTGATATGGAAGTTGAACGATAGGTTATGAATTCTATTTTGTGAGACCAATGATGATTACTTATTATTCTAATCCACGTAAGAAGAAAAGTTATTAAAAATTAAAATTTTATGCCAGGATAAAGGCATGTTATAAATTTTTAAAATCACTAAAATGTAAAATCATAATGGAAATATTTTAACACACAAAAAGCCTTTAAAATACTTAAATTCTTAGTGAAATATTATTTTTTAATTTCTTGAATGATAACCAATTGTTGTAAATTAACAACTAATCCTAAAAATGAATTCTTAGATATAATTAAATATAAACCATTATAAATCCTAAACAAGAAGATAAAACTTTAATTTTAAATATATTAAAGTGTAATTAAAACATATGAATTAAAAGGGATTGATTTAAATAACCCTTATAAGTAATGCTTAATATGATAAAAACGTTTTTGAAATAAAGCTTTTGAAGACAAAAGGTTGTGTAAAAATTAAACATCAATTTTAGAAAAATATTGTGTGAAATTTAAATTTTTTTTAAGAGAGGAAAATGTGCATAATATTTGCATATTTTAACCTCGGAGATTAAAAATAAATAAAAATAAATTAAATATTAAAACGCTACTAATTAAATATTAAAACGCTACTAATAAAATATAAAACGCAAAATTTAAAAAAAAAACGCGAAATTTTATATAATTTTTTTGATTTATCATTCTTATGTTATTCTACATTCCAAAAATTTTATTCCAAATTCTTTTATTCCAAAATTTTATTCCATATATTCAAACTTGATCCTTATAATAATGATAACGTACAGCAACTTTTCTAACCTACAAAAACGTATGGACTCACGCCATCAGACAGACTTATGCGCCCTCTGAGCAGCAACTTGATGCTTTGTCGAGGAGGGGAATGTTAATAGTGTTGTTTATTCAAATTTGTAAAATAATTAATTGAGTATTAATTTTAATGTTTTGTTACATATTGTGTTGTTTATTCAAATTTGTAAAATAATTTATTGAGTATTAATTTAAATGTTTTGTTACATATACCAGTATATATACCAGTCGATGATATACATATTATTATTATTTTATTTTTTAAAGTAGAAATAAAATTTATTTAAAACAAAATACAACTTAATTTATACTTGTTTCTTTTAAATACAAATATCCAATCATAAATTTTTAAATTTATAATTCACATTAAGTACAAATTTTCTTAAAATTTAAGCAAAAACTCCTGTTTTTAAATATAAAAATCAACTAAAATTAAATTATACAATAATTGATTGACATTTCATACAGTCTATTTTTTTAATTTATATTATTTAATTTATAAGTTCGCAAAGTGCTACAATAACATTAACAATATTATTATACCAATTTTGAACCATAATATGGAACTTGTGGTGGTAGCATAGTATATAAGGCACTTCTTTATTAAAAGGTTTGTACTCCTCCATTTTGTCCAGACATGAAGTTTACACACATCATATGCCTGGCTTATTATATACGATGAATTAATATTTAATTCACTAAACTTTAAAATAAAATTAGTAATATACAGTCAGCTGAAAATTGTAAATTAATGATTTCTATTAATTTTTTTTGGATTTTCCCCAGGGTTCTGAACCCTTCGACAAAAAAATGTGTCCGAATTCGGGTAGAGGAATAAAATATAAAAAGTGCCCGGGTCCAGGGTTCGGGTCCGGGTTCAGGGAACATAAAATTAATGACTCAAAATAAGATTTTTTCATTCATTTATTACTATATTTCAATATATACATATTTATAATTAACAAATGTAATTAATATTTAAAATGTTTTATTCAATCGCACAATCATAAAATATCTTCTAAAATATCATCCTTGATTTTCATGTAAATTAGACAATATTATTTAAAGATGAAAATTCACGTTTTACCCTTACCTAAAATAGATAATTATCTTTATAAAATTATTGGATTTGTGTCCCCGGGAAAGCCACGAAGATTCTAGATAAGATATATAATTCTGGATATATTGCAGATTTTCTTTCAGAATTTTAGAATATTTGTATCCTTAATTCTCTTAACTTCTGAGAACTTTTCTATTAAAGATGCAATAGGCATTTTTTGATCCTCCTTTCCATCTGATGATGATTTGATTTTTTTTTCTCTATCTAAAAGTAAAATGTCAAGATCATCAATGTTTATTATTACTACAACCAGTAGGTATTGTCGTAGCCTCCAATATATTGTAAATAAAGGGTATGCCATAAATCTTTAGTATGGTTTTTAGCCATTTGTTTTTGCTCAATACTCAATAAAACTTGATATCGAGGGTCTAAATATATAGAAGTGTATACAACACTATTTTAAAAAAATTT